GTCCACTGCCAGAATCATTTGTTGACATTCAAGAAAATAAATTTATTTAAAAAAAAAAAAAGTGGAAATAGTTTAATGTGCAAACAATGTGTATTATCCACAAATTATACTACTGAATTACTAAGTAATAAAATTGATGAGTTTTAAATTGTTTATTTTTTTCATTACGATTCTGATACGGGTCGAAATATTTTCAAACACTTCGAAACTTTTTTATTTTCTAGGTAACTAAATCAATGTACGAAACAAAATTTTGATCCTTATATCTACCTAATGACTCAAATTATCGATTTAATGTCATGACAACGAAACGATCACGATAAGCATTTTTCATTAGTGTGTGAAAAAATAAGTTCCCTAAATGAATTGGGAACATGACTGTTTACATTGTCTGCCCACCAGAGGAGCACCTGAATAATGTAAACTAATGAACTGAAAAAAGAAGAAAAAAAGATGATTTCAAATTGGCTTAAAAAATTACCCCATTTTTAGGTGGTAGAAGACACTCCAGTCCCAGATGCATACTTCTTCATCATGGCAGCATGCTTTTGTCCAGCAAGATGATGTCTGAAAACTGTTTCACTATTGCAAACCACATTACATAATGCACATGCCCGAACACCATCTGCTGCAGCTCCACCTTCCAAAAGTTTCCGCCTTTTTGTCGCCAAATCCTCCACAGCCTCAACTGCCTTCTTTTTTGCCTTTTGTTCGCCGGAAGTTTTCGCGTTATCAGGATTCTCTTGTGGTCCAATTATCAGATTATTTGACACAGGTGCCGGTGCTGCTTGTAGTTTCTCCAGATTCTTCTTGTGCTTCTTTCCTAATTTATGATTGTCAAGAACATCCTTGCTGTTACAATCAATCTTGCATATTTCACACCAAACAGACTGTACAACCTTCGTTTTCTTTGGAACTCTCTTCCAACTAAAACCTCGTTGAAGTTGAGTTGTTGGATTAGTCCAAAGAGTGGGATTTGGATTTGCAGACACCCACTGCTCTGCCCCATTTGGAGTTATTGTTACACCCTGCAGAGGAAGTGAGGATAAGTTATTTAGGAGATACACAAAAATATGTACACCCATGCATGCATAAATACAGCAAAATGTTTCTAATAAATTTTTCTTTCTACTGTAACTTTTTCTCAATTTTTTGAAAAATAGAAAATAACAATATCTCCATAAAAAGATGCGAGCAAAGTGGGTGCAGACCAAGGAACAAAACATCGCGTCGATTCGTCCGAAACATTTAGCATTTTCAACACACCGAAACAAAACATGGCTTGAATCCAAAAATTTCAAGTTTCGGTCGAAACGTCGCTGTGTCAGACCGTTTCAGTCGAAACAGTACTGTTTCGGCGAAACATTCGACAGCATTCTAGGGCAAAGTCCACCAAGCCCAAAAAAAAGGGAAAAAACCGAGAACACATGTACACAGATTCAGGTCTTCAAAGCTAAAAAAAAAAAGGCAAATAGAAGAGAGAGAGAAAAACACACCCAGATGAAATCGAAGAGACAGAGAGAGAAAGACGCATATACAAACTATACAGTAGAAATTGAAGGAGAAGAATTCAGTAGCTTACCTCTTTGAGTCTAAATTTGAACAGATCTAACCTCCATCCACGCAGATCTAGGGCTTGAGATTTAGGTCTTCATCACTGCGAGCTGTGACCCACGAGCCACGAGCTACCAAGTTTCTTCTTCTTCTTCTTCTTCTCTCTCTCGCATCGCCTCACCATCACCTTTTTTTCTTCTCTCTATCGTTGTCTGTGTTCGTGTGTTCGTGGGTGAGAGAGACATGACTGACTCTTCTTTTGGCTTTTGTATTTTTCTTTTGTCATAACTATAAAAAATTACATTTAATACTCTACTGCATTATAACTTTTAATTTATAGGTATACATAAGTATCATTAATTTCATTTAATACCCTTCATTATTTTTTTTCCTTTTTCTAATTTTTTTTATATTATTATTATTTATTAAATTGGTATATTAAATAACTACGAATCATTTTATTAATTATATCTTATTTGTTAAATATCTAGAATTAAGTATTTATGTGTGTACAAAATGTGTATACAATGATTTTAATATTAATGAAATAATATTATTTATTAATTTGCAGATGCAATTTAAATTAATAAATTAGTATTATAATAATATGTTGCACAAATTAGTATAATAACATGCTACACAAAGTGTTAATATTATTAATTATTAAATTAGTATTATAATAAAATAGTATTATTAATTAGATAATATTTTAATTTAAAAATGTTATACGTATCATATTTAAGTAATTTTTGCCTCATGTCAATCCTTTTTTTCCCCTCCAATTTAAATTTATTCTTGTATAAATAGATGTTAACCCAATAAATATGTTGAATTAATCAATTATTAAGCTTATCTTTATAAATAAACGGATTGTATTTGTATTTTCATATATTTCCATATTTTTTCTGCGTTTTCAAAACGTTTCCCTTTTTTAACTTATCGAAACGGTCATTCAAAATGATATTTCGATCTTTGGTGCAAACCAAGTCTATGTGTGNCATATTTTTTCTGCGTTTTCAAAACGTTTCCCTTTTTTAACTTATCGAAACGGTCATTCGAAATGATATTTCGATCTTTGGTGCAAACCAAGTCTATGTGTGCTCACCAATCTGTCATGAAGGCAATGCTTTCTGACCATTGAATGATCCACAAAGAAGGGTATAGAGCACTCCCAATGTGATTCTTATTCCAACTTGCACATCCACAAGACAATTTCATCCACTTCTAGATAGGGGTGCAACTTGGGTTGGACAACCCGATTTCAACCCAAGTCAATCCGAAAAAATTAGGGCTAGGGTAAGAATTTTTAATACTTGGGTTGGACTTGAATCAAAAAATTTCAACCCAAATTCAATTTGGGTTGGGCTCGGGTTTACGGGTTCAACCCGAACCCGACAAATTAGAAAAAAAAAATTATATATATATATAAAGGATTAGCACTGGTTTTTCATTTTTGTTCTATCGTTTTCTGTCTCTCTTGTTCATTTTCATTTTTGTTCTAGCATTAGCATTGTTAAAATTTTAGTTGAAGTTATTGCTTGTTAATTTTGGTAAATATTATGTAATATATGTATTAGGTTTAAAACAACAAGTCTATTTTGAACTCTATCCGAACTCAACCTGAATTAAACCCGTAAAGTAACCAGAAATCAACCCGAATTCAACCCGAGCTCGCTCGACTTAAACTCGGGCAGTGTTCGGGTTGAGGAACTCAACCCGAGGTAAGGTTAGGGTTAGAATTCAAGATTATACATCTTGGATTGGGTTAGGGTTGACTGTCCAACCTGCCCAACTTGCCCGAGTTGCACCCCTACTTCTAGATGATTATGTCAAATGAGGACAACTTTCACAATGCAAATTTTGCTTTGAGTAATGCTACACAACCCAAATGAAACTCAAAAAATTGTAACTCAAATATATATCATCCCTTGGATGAATTTTCGATAAGTGTTTACTTGACCAGTTGTAGCTGGTAGCAGATGTGGACTTGGTTGAAGAAACTTCTGTTTTTTCTAGACCTTGATGTTGGCAATGCTTTGTGTAGATATGGTGTAGTGGATGTGTAAAGTTCTAGTCTGAGACTCTGAAGTAGTGCTTTTGTAAGATATCTTGCTTAGGAATATGGCCCCTTATGCTTATAAGGATCGTTTTATCTTGTATTAATAAAATCACAAGATTACCCTCAAATAAAAATCTTAAGAACAAGGATTGTGCCTAAATGCACCAAACCCAACACCCAAGCATATCAAAATACATTTGCCTGTGGCCCAACCATAAGCAGAACAATCAAAACAAATTCTCCAAGTTATGCATTGTACTTATAATAGAAGTTGTGCGATTCTGCCACTCCATTATCCTACTGACAACCCTTTTACTAAGATTGGAGGGGGGAACAAAAAAAGTAGACAGAAAACTCTTCCACCAAGAAGCTGTGAGGAAGCAATTTCTAGGTCAAGCATCACCTGGAAGACTAAAATGAAAAGAAGGGGAAAGTACCAATTCAGAGAAGGGAGGAATGTCATTTTAAGGAGGCTACAAGTTCATTATTAGCCCAAGAGGATGAGATGTTTAAGTCCCAGGTGGAAATTGAATACAATAAATGACTAATATTCAGAAACAAATAAATGACTAGTACAAAGAAACGTAGTAGTAGACAATGTCAACTATTTTATTGCCAAGACAATATCTTATATCGGTAACTATATTAATCTAATTTACTATTTGGTTAACCTCCAAAATCAGCAGACATCAAGTTCCAATTGGCTTCTTTGGTAGAGATTAGCCAACTAATAGTGCCACTGCAATGCACATGCAAAAAATTGTCATGTTTGATATGGGTTTCAAACATGAAGTGTTCAACATTTTAGCTCTGAGTGGTACTATCAAGTACGGTTTTCAGAAAGTCATTTAATTTTTCAAGATTGCGAGCAAACCAGTACCCAATAGGTCTGCGGAAATTTAACTAAATTACTGAAGACCATTCATCAAATGGACTTTACTTAAACACAACTTCATATTTGGTTACCTTCCTCTTCAATTCAGAAAAGAATCATGTAATTGAAGTAAGCAATCATATCCAAAAATGTATTCCAGACTCATATCAATCAATTCAATAGAATGTTCACACACATTCTTGTGTCTTCAACATAAAACCACAGAAAGCCCCACCAGGAAGTATAACCCATTTGATCTTCCATCAATTATCACACAACGATTGTGGGTTCTAATACAAGAGCAACCATGTGTGCAAATAACACAAAAAAAGGTACGTTGTCTATCCCTTCCACCACCCTCTATTGTATGAGACCCAGCTGCATAAGGCCTTGGTCAAAACCAATTATAACGCAATTTTATTCCTAGCAACAGAACTTACAGACTAAATTACACAGAAATCAATACAAAAATAATTCGAGAAACTAGTACTTCAAATGTATAGCAAAACACTTACAGTGGCAGAGTGATAATACACAGATGGCACCGACAGTGCGGAATCGACTGTCTGAAGATGAGTATATGCTAAACCCGATTGATGAGCTTCATACCCACCAGATGGCCCGGTGGCTGTATCGAGACCAACATTACTGTACTGGGGTACATGAATTTGGTGAGGACTAAGGATAGGGTTAGGGTTTGGGGGATGGAGTTGATTGTAATAGGAAGGGTAATGGCTGATGGTGTAGAGATGGTGAGAGTATGGTTCTATGTGTGATGGGTTGGGGTTAGCGTTGGGGTTAGGTTGTTGCATATTCGTCGAAATTCAGAGAGATTCAACTGTGAGTGAGAAAGTGTTCAAAAAAAAAAACACTGTGAGAGGAGAGAGAGAGAGAGTTTTCTCTCTCTAAAATCTCCAGTTTCTTTGAGCAGAAATGGCTGGAACAGAACTTGAAAGTAATGGGCTAACTGATTGGTGGTGCTTAATCCTTACGGCCCAAAACGAAAGGCCCACTAAATTAGTACTCGGAGTGTAATAAGACAAAGTGTCTTAATCCAATCCTTTTATCTGTGCTAATTATGGGTTCATTTTATAGTAAATTAGGCTAGGGTATATAATTTTTAGTATAAAAAAAGGTCCCTGTATTAACACGAATGTTTAGAGATTTGTTAGTTAGTAATTTTCATTATCTATTTTGCCCTCGTCACATGATTTTAACCTAAAATATAGGTAGTTTTTTTTTTTTTGAGGTTTTTTTGGTGTTACCTATCAATTTTGAAATTCAAACTCGTGAACAAAATAATTTGGACATTATAATGACGTCTTACGATCTGTATTTTAGTGTACATGTCTAACGGTCTATATATATGGAGAAAAAGGTACATTAATGATCTGTATTTTAATGTACCTGTCGAATAATCTGTATTTTAGTATACCTATCTGACGATCTGTGTTTATGGAAAAAAAAGTACACTAACGATCTGTGTTTTAATGTATCTGTCTGACAGTTTGTGTTTTAGTGTACCTGTCTGATGATATATGTTTATAAAGAAGAAGGTACATTAACTATATGTGTTTTAGAGTACCTGTCTAATAATATGTGTTTTACTGTACATATCTGACAATTTTTGTTTATGAAGAATAAGGTACATTAACGATTTGTATTTAAGGAGAAAAATGTACATTAATGATTTGTAATATACCTGCCTAACGATTTGTGTATTTAGTATACATGTCTGACAATCATGGCGTACTTGTTATTTTTTATATTTTTTTATTGTATACTTGTTATTTATTATTTATTTATTATATTTTTTTTAATTGCGTACCTGTGTTTTTTTTAGCATGCATGTTTTACGATATTTGTTTATAGAGAAAAATGTAGATTATGATGACGTAATTTTTTAGAATATGTGTTTAAATTAGGTGATACAATTGTCATTATTTTTTGTAATTTTAAAAGGTGTTAGTTATGTTCATTATTTTAACTTTTCACCAGGAGCCTCTTTGACTTTTCAACAGGACCTCATACAAAAAAAAAATTGGCAAGTAGGCTTTTTTTTGAAATCCTATTAGAGCTAGGGACCGGCCTCCAAATCCCTCTTAATTTTAACGCATTAGGCCTCTTTGGAGTTAGTTTAAATGTTTTCAAGTAAAATAAGTGAGATATATTTGGACCTTGATTTTTTTATCAATTTATACAAAAATTTTTGGGATTTAAAAAGACTTATTTAGACTGATTTAATAAACTAATTTTATGAGCTCTTTTTTTCAACTTTTTGGAGATTTGTCGCGGGTCTCACATAATTTTTTAATTTATTATATTTTCAAAATATTATTAATGACATAAAAAAATTTGAAATTCATATTTTATGAACTATTATGCATAATTTATATATGTGTGTGTGTGTGTAATTACTTTTTAAATTTGACACAAAAAGCTAAAAAAACAAAAAAAATCACTCTAAACGAACTATTCTAACTTTTTCAGTTTTTTGAAGAATACTACAGATAGTTTTGGAGAACTTTTTTAACTCTAATTTTTTTTACGAAACTTTTTAAACCGTAATTTGTGACCTAAAAAAGACAACTCCAAACAAGACCATTATCACAATTGGATGATTGATAATGGTAGCGATTAGTTGAAAATGACTCAAGTGTCTTAAATAAGTCATCTTTGAGGCAAATTATAAGTGAAGTAAAACTCAAGATTTACACGGAATGCATGCCGTCATTGATAGGAGGTATTAATCGAACTGAGTTTTGTGAACTTGAATTTGAACCTATCAAACTTGTTTAGAAAATGAGATGAGCTCGAGTAACTCAATTATTTTACATATAAACGGACCAAACTTTGCGAGTTCAAGCCTAATTTTTTAGGCTCATTTTTCTAAATGAACTAAAAAAATTATTCAAATTCAACCCATTTAAAACACAAATGCAGCTCAAGCCGAATCCAATCCAAGTCAAGCCGAAGTAACTCATCTTGATTAACACTCCAAACTATCGGTACCGAAAAGTGTTGCTTCAAATACAACTCAACCAAATGAATCATATCGAACAATAATTTGGACCATCCTCCCAATATTCCAAAATGTGAGGGTGCTTTGTCACTAGGAAAAGGTGCAGTTACTAAAGGATGGCCCTCAACACTGCAACCAGGTGCCTTGCATAATTTTTAGCATGAGAGAGAGAGAGAGAGTGGGAGAGAGTTAACATAGTTATATAGTAGGTGACTAAACAACCACCTTCATCTCAGATGCCATTTAAAGCATTTTTATATTTGCTTAATGAGTTTCAACCAATCTTCAAAACAGCACAGTGATCAAATTACTCTCCGATCTCTCAATCTTCAGAAAACCTCATGATAACAACACATTGTCTCCTGCTCTCAAGGTGTGTAACATAAATTTGTGAAACCCAAATTGTGTTCTACAAATTTTACCAAAAGATTCTCGCTTATCAATTTACTTATTCAGAACAATGATAACGAGCAATGAAAAAACACTATTACAATTCTTATGTTCCAAAATGAAAACAGACTGATGAGCTCCAATCTTGAAACAATTGAGAATTCTAGCAGACAAAAACTACAGAAGCAGATATGAAATGGAGGAAAACTAGCTTGAATGAGAATATCGGCTAGTCAAATCTACAACTTGAAAAGGGAAAATTTTTCACTTTTGTATGGCTTTCCCCAAATTTCTATGGAATTCAATCAACTACTGCATGTACATTCTTGAAACTTGATGAAAGAAGAAATGGATGGTATCAGTTTCTCAGTTAGAGATCACCATTGCCTTGTGCTCATGATCTCTTCCAACCCACCAGGACTTGAACACAATATCACTATCATCCCCTTCCTCTTGAGTGCCTGAGAGATTAAGATCGAAAATATTATGAATATCAGGAAGCTCTTGTTCTATGACCACAGTCTCTTTGGCTCTGCTTTCAGAGAATGCAATATTGTAATGAGCCCTCTTGTGACCACCCAAAGCTTGGCCTGATGAGAAAACCTTGAAGCAAATCGGGCACTCATGGTCCTTGCTCTTTATTGACTCGTAACTGGTCACCTCCATTCCAGTTTCCTGCTCAATTGGCTTGGAATTAGCTTCATTATCAGACAGAACACTTGTTCTGATGCTCTTCCCATTGCTCTCCATATCCACCACAGAGCTACTATTGATTATCCTGTGGTGAGTCCTGTGGCCACCAAGTGCTTGATGAGAGTGAAAGACCTTATTGCAGGTCCTGCACTTGTACTCCTGTTTCTTCTCAGTATCCCTCAAGATTTCAGAATCCGTAGTACTAAAGTTCATTTTGCCACCAGAATTTCCCCCCAGTTCAAGATCATGAACGCCAATCACCGGGTTTTTGGCTGAATCAGACTTCATAACTTCTATCACTGTATGCTTCTCCAATCCTACATTACTTCCCTTCTCAGTATCAGTATCATTCAACTCCAATGCATATTCATCACCCAGAGGAAGCCCATCATCTGAAACTTCCAATTCAATCTTATTTTCATCAATGCTCGCAATCCCAGACTCAAAATCAGCAGATTCTGATATATTCTTCTCAGTTAAAGGATTGGCAGAACATAAAAGAGGAGAATCTAGCTTCTCTCTTAGCTTTGGTATCTTCCATGACTCATCACCATCAAGAACAAAGTTTCCACCCTCAACTGCAGTAATTTCCTCACTCTGATGAAATGATTGGGCTTCAAGAACAACAGAATTATGATCTGAAGACCCTGTAACCAGGTTAAACCCACCCCAATTCCTCACACCCCTAGATAGCATCATCAAACACATAGCCACCTCCACCTCCTCCTCACTCCCAGAAATTAATGAAGATGAATTCAAATCGGAAAAAGAAGGATTTGGGGAAATCCTATACCTTGTCTTTGATCTCTTCCTCCGAATCGGACACGCAATACTCTCGAAACCAGATTGGCTCTGGACTGATTTATTGTAGACCCTAGATCTTTTGGGGTGACTCCTCATGTGCCCAAACAGAGCTCTCATTGTACCAAACCCTCTTCCACATTCCTTGCAGACATTTTCTTCATTGTCCTTCTTTAAATGGCATCTCATGTGCACCTTCAGAACTCTCAACGATTGAAAACCATTGCCACATTGTTCACAATGGATTCCTTTCTTCAAAACACTATGTTTTGAATCAAGAACCCTCCAAGACTTTTTGGGTTTGTCTCTTAGTCTTGGGCCATAGCTTCCTTGCCCACCGTGTTCAAAACCCATGTCGCTGTTCTTGATATTTTCTGGAATCAGAGAACTGTTTGATTGCTCAGAAATTATCAAACCCTTGGGTTGATCACTACCATCGAAACCCATTCTACAATCTTCGTTCTCAAGATCTTTCTTAGCTGAAATCAAGGCCGAGTGACCCCTCATGTGACCTCCTAATGACTTCCCACTAAAGCAAATCTTGTTACAAAACTTGCACGAATACGTCTTCTCTTGATCTTCTTCCATCGTTTATACAGCAAAGAGAATCGATCAATTCAAGGATAAGAAAAAAGAAACCCTGATCAGAAAACTAAGGAAACCTCAATTTTACAGTAAAATGCTGGCCAATCTCTCATCACATTCAATGGAAAACGCGAGATTGCTGAAGAAACAGGGGAAGCAATGGAGGACCCAGATCAAAAAACCCAAACGAATAAGAAACAAGACCTAATGCCTAATAACACAACTGAGGCTTGCTTCACATTCACTCTCTTTTGGCATTTTAAAGCCAATACAAACATTTCGATCTGAAAAGACTGATTGTTCACCGACTTACTGTCGGTAATGGCTACCAAAAACCAAAACAGATTCACTCTCTCCCTCTCTGAAAAGTGGTCAATCTTGATGGTGTGTGTCCTGTGGCTTTTGGCTGTATTTAGCAAGAGGAAGCCTTGCATGGAAGCAACGATATAGCACGGGGACGTTTCCTACTCGTTGGTACATATCACTAGAATAGACCTTTTTTTTTTTTTTTTATTCTACAAAATTTAAATAAAATTTAAAAAATTGTAATTTAAATATATATTATCTCTTTGATCAATATGTGTATCAATTTTTTAAGTGGAACTCCCTCGTCCAAAGAATATGCATTTAAATTTTAACTTTTGAATTCTATTTAAATTATGTAACATTCTTTTTTAAAGCGGATTTGATCACGTCTCACTGTTAAACTAAAAAAACAAATGATCCTCTAATTTGTGAGGTTTTCTGGTTGTAATTTGTTGTTAATTTACTATCCTGATTATGGATAAAACGATTATTTTTTTGGGTCCGAAAAATAAGATAAAATTACTTTTTCTAACAACCAATTTCTCAATTGAAGTACCCACAATTTCAAATATGCACAACCATCAGCAATGATTTCCAATAAAATTATACTTGACAAGTGAAAGACTGAGAAGGGTGAGATGGATGAACTTTGTGTGAGGTATGATGAGTGATTAAGACAAGAAGAGTAAAGTGTGCATAGGAAATAAAATAGTTTACCCAGCTGAAGAGCTGTGTTACAGTGTTAGTCTATTGTAGCTAAGGTTCTTGCTCTTTTAAGTGTCTATAGCTTGAAGAAAAAGGAGAAGGTACAATAAGGTTCTTCTCTTACTTGGGCACCCTTCTACAGTAATCATTATTTTTATAATCAATTGGTTAGAGAATATATGGAAAATATTTGCCCCTCTTATAGGTAGAATCGATAATCGAGCCGGACTTTTACGAGTTCAAGTCAAATCTATCGGGCTTTTCTTTTTAAACGAGTTTAAAAATTATTCAAGTTCGATTCGTTTAAAAAATAACTGAGTCCAAAATAAGTCGAACTTGAAATGAGCCTAAGTAGCTCAAGTATTTCATATATAAATGAGCCGAGTATTTTAAAATCAGTCTAAAAAATTACTCAATTTCAATTCATTTAAAACACAAGTTGAGTTCAAATCAAGTCTTATCTCAAGTAAGTCCAAACCAAATCCAAATAAGTTGGTTGCCCTTTTAAGTAGGGCATGTGTGAAAGACACATTTTGATTGGAGTTGAGGCCTTGAAAAATTTATTGTTAATCTGAATTAAACCAAGTCAACTCAATGTGCGAAAAGTTGACCGCTCATACTTATTCATTTTTAGACCGTCTTCTAAAATACGTGCTTATCCTGCATGTGTTTGATGTGTTCTTTGTCCAAGATGTAATTGCCTTAGATACTATTCGGCATCATCGGTATGCAATTATTCACAAATTATGTATTATGGGTCAAATTTATATCTTGACATAATAACTGAAAATACATGCCGGAAACTAAAGGTTTGACCATTGGCAGCAAGTTCTTGCGAATTTTATGCACTACAGCATACAGGACCCCAAGGTGGAGCTGGCTAATTAGATCCATTTGGACGGCTAGGATTGATTCGTCCGACAAGTCAATGTATGAGTGGCAACACCGGAAGTTACTGCCCTAACAACCTTCACTTTGTCTTTCTGTGGGGTCCACTCTTGCACTTGAGTGCTAATCAAAAAAAAAAAAACTTGTCAATGCTAGTGAGTTGAAAAAAGAGAAAAAACGAATTAAATCATGATTTAAATCTTTTTTAATACATTTTATCTTTTTTTTTGGTGATAGATTATTAATTGTATATCAATGAAGAAGTTATATGTAAATAATCTACCATTAGCAAAATAAAAAATATATGTATTTTAGAATATTCAAATATCAAGATATTATGTTATTGCTTTTAGAGTTTCAATTTTCTTAGTAAATGTCATAAGAACCGAGGGTTTGTGTCTCAAAAATATAAAAAGTAAAAATGAGGAAAAATTCAAATTGAGTTTTTCATTTGATAGATTTTTCAATTTTGCACAAGTTGCAAAAACAAGGATACATCTGTCTACTAAAATTAATTACGAATCCCCTTTCTGGTCTCTACCAAAATCTGTTCCAAAATTAAATATTGAGGCATATCTTTGTTATTGATTATGCCTGTGATTTAATGAACAACAAATCGTATTCTTTAAATTAAACCCTTTCAAATCCATTTGTTAATCTGGTAACCTTCAAAACACCTCTATCAATACTATTATTAAGAAATTTCTTGAAGTTAATTCCCTCTAATCCATAGGATTAGTAGTGAAAACCAAACATTGGAATTTTCATTGCTGTAGTATTTTGTGGACTTGAAGTTCGAAATAGAGAAGTATGGCCAAGAATTGCTCCAAATTTTGGAGTATCAGGTTTTGGACCAAATTCATGATTAGACATGATGATGTGTTGTTCAGTGCTGTATTTGATTTTTTTCAGTGAGATTGAACGTAACACTGCCCTCGAGAGAAAATTGTTCATAAACTGATTAAAAAAATATAAATTTTTAAGAATAGAGGAGCCGTGGTGGTCTTCCGGACTGCCCAGATCTTACAAATAAATTGAAAATTGGATCTACATTGCGTCTAGTTGTCTATTGACATCAAAAAACACATCTGAGCAAAGTAGATGGAATTCAAAATATGACAAATGCTCATACACAAAAGTAAGTAAATTAGAAATAAAAAAAAAAACGAAAAGAACTATAGATAGAAGATAAAGTTGAAAAAGTGTCGTATCTTTGGTAAAAACTCTACAAAACTGAAGTGAATGAAGCAGCAAAAGTGCAATCCTGAATTTCCAACGGAGGAGATGAGAATACTCCAAAACCACACTTTCACCCCTCACAGCCCCATATAGAGAAAGTACAAAAAGGTGACAAACAGAAAGAACAAAGTCCTGCATCGATAAACGACCAAACTCATCTTTAAACATGTTGGGCTACATTCGAGAATTGGTTAGTAGTTACCAGTTCCTCAATAAAGAAAGCATAAGAGACACAAAACTCAATGCAGAGAGAGATCACATAGACACATTGTTTCTAAAGATCAACTTGTTAATAGGCAAACAAAAAGGAAATCTGGTTCTCTGACAACACCAGTACCAGATAAAATGTAATATCATTTGTAATGCAAAACATAAAGCTCCTTTGTCGCACATAGTAACATGAATAATTGTCTCGACTAATAGTTAATAGTACGGAAAATCAGAAAAGATAGTAAAAAATCCAATAGACTGCCCTCATGACTATTGTTCTTTTGTTCCAACACAGCCACCTGATTGAACCATTGCTTTTAGGCCACGGCAGGCAAGTCTTTTAGCCATGCATCCAGCGGCTTACCAATCGAGTACACAATGAAACCAATGTCCCTCAGCTTATCAACGTTCACAATGTTCCTACCATCAAATACAAAAGCGGGTTTCTGCATGTTATCATATATCTTCTGGTAATCTAGAGTCTTGAACTCATCCCACTCGGTGAGAATGCAAATACCATGTGCATCCTTTGTTGCCGTATAGGCATCCCAAACAACACTCACTTGCTTGACAGTGGTGGGACTCATTGGCTGTAGGTGAAGGGGATGATCCCAGTCAAACTTGTTCATTGTAAAGTCCCTCTGAATCTGGTCCTCAGTGACTTGTGGATCATATATGCTCAATCGTGCCTTGTCACCCAAGAGTCCCTTGCAAACATCAATGGCTGGGGTCTCTCGTGTGTCACCTGTATCCTTCTTAAAGGCAAATCCGAGGATAGCAATTTTCTTGTTGGCAACCGTGTTAAACATAGAAGAAACGAGGCGGTTGACAAAACGACTTTTTTGGTAATCATTAATCTTGATGACTTGTTTCCAGTATTCCGCCACCTCTGGAAGGCCATTGCACTCGCAAATGTAAACCAAGTTCAGAATATCCTTCTGGAAGCAAGACCCACCAAAGCCAACACTAGCATTCAGGAACTTGGGACCAATCCTTGTGTCCTTACCAACAGCATATGACACCTGGGTAACATCTGCTCCGGTAGCCTCACAGAGAGCTGACATGGCATTAACTGATGAGATCCTCTGTGCCAAGAAGGCATTGGCAGCAAGCTTTGAGAGCTCTGCAGACCATAAATTGGTGCATAGGATTCTTTCTTCAGGGACCCAATGAGAATAAACATCTTTCAAAGTTTTGATTGCCTTCTGGCCTTCTGGAGTCTCCCTGCCTCCAATGAGGACCCTGTCAGGGTTAAATAGATCTTGAATTGCAGTACCCTCTGCAAGAAACTCCGGATTTGAAAGTATTTGGAAATTAATTCCATTGCTGTTGTGAGTCAGAATTTTTTCAATTGCCTCGGCTGTTTTGACTGGGACAGTTGATTTCTCCACAACAATTTTGTCAGATTTGGACACATCAGCAATCATGCGGGCAGCGCTCTCCCAGTATGTCAGATCTGCTGCTTTGCCTGCTCCAAGACCCCGAGTTTTGGTTGGGGTGTTGACAGAAACGAAGACTATATCAGCCTCCGATACATGTTTCTCCACATCTGTGCTGAAGAAGAGGTTCTTGCCTCGGCACTGCTTAACTACATCTTCGAGGCCTGGCTCATAGATGGGAAGCTGGTCACTGTTCCAGGCGGTAATCCGAGGCACAGAGATATCAACAACGGCCACTTCAATGGAAGGACACTTGAGTGCTATCACTGCCATTGTTGGGCCCCCAACATACCCAGCTCCAATGCAGCAAATCTTCACCATTTTTTCTCTGTACGTGTGCTCAACAAAAACAAATCCGCATATCAGAGAAGAACAACATTGCAGAGAAGTTCATTTTCACATGGTTTAATAACCTGGGGTCATGATTCATATTCATAGACATAGATTCAAGATAATCTACGACTTTTACAGATTACAACTACTACTCCCATGATCAAGGATAAGTTGACCAGTGAATAGCAGTCATGTTATGTTGCGTGAGATGTACCAATACTCATGGCATCCATCCAGCCAACCACGACAATCAAAGGATAGAAATGATGCAATACATCTATCAAATAGCTTCTACCAGATCTACATTCAAATGCAGTGAAAGGGGTTCTCAGATATTAATACTGAGGAGAACAACAAAGAAAGAGACAATCAGGAATCAGATGCATAAAAACACGCTAATACTGCATACAATTTAGCTTATAATTTCTAAACAAGTTTCATATACCTCAGAAAGCTAGACTCAATGTCAAAAAAGGAAGAGATTCCACATTAAAGTATATCAAGGATAAAGAGAACAACAAAGAAAAGATACAATCAGGAACCAGATGCATACAAACACGCTAATACTGCATACAATTTTGCTTATAATTTCTAAACAAGTTTCATATACCTCAGAAAGCTAGACTCAATGTCAAAAAAGGAAGAGATTCCACATAAAAGTATATCAAGGATAAAGAGAACTGCAGTATGTATTGAAACAATCTGTTTCTCAGTAAAACAAGGGACAAGGATAAAGAGACCGTGATATGTTCTCAGTGAAATCAGATAAAATTGGAGCATAGACAGATATTTATGGCCGCCAACGGACTGCACGTTATAGTGATCTTATTCAATTCACAAAATACAGGACCAGCAAAGAGACACCGAAAATAATGATAACTGTAGGTAGCCAGAGTCAGATCTGGCGCATATACGCACACAAGAAAAACTGGTGACAAATTTCAGGCAATTGCAAATCTCAAATTGAGCTAATGTTAATGGAAAGCATATGATAATTCTTGATTTTGAATAAAAATCACGACAAATTTGGTGTTACATGCGAGTTAATATCACATTTCCAACTAGATCCATTCTTGCACTACCAGATCCGTAATTTCATGGTGCTTGTCGAACATTGAACTGACCTAATTAAGCTACTAAATCTAACCAGTGTGCTTGTTGAACACCTGAAGCCCCCAATTTGAGCTAGACTTCGAATGAGCAACACCGGTACCGATTTCAATCCAAAAACAATAAATCTGATCCAACAATTAAGCACACAACCAGCAAACGTAGACAGATCCATGGATCAAATCACACAATAACACACAACATATGAATTTCATACATAAGTAAATCATATCATTCATAAACAAACCAAAACAAAACAATAACGTCAAAGGCAATACTCAGATTAGGAATTCGATATTCATGAGCAAATGCATCGATATACAAAAAACACACACACAAAAAAGTATACATATAAGGAACTTGATATTGAGATTGAAATTACCTGAACGATTGTTCCTCCGATTTTCTCCCAGAAAGATCAGAAGAAAGAGAGAAGCTGTGGAGAAAAAGACGCAACGAGAGATCTGTTTCTGTTGAGTGAATTCTTTAGCAACTGAATGAAAAGTCAGAAGAGCGGGCAACCTCGTTTTATAGTCGTTTCCCGTCCAAGATCCACCCCGTCTAATTTACCATTTAGGACGATAAGTTTCTTTTACCATTTTGATGTGGGAAGCTCAACGCCTTACCAACGCACGTTTGAAGTGAGTTAACGAGGGGCAAAAATGTGAAAACGCAGTTGGGTGTGGTGGGGACCGAGCTACTGATCGAATTGACAAAAGTACCCCCCTCCCCGCGTCAGGTAGACTCGTAGGTGGTGGGTGTCTGTTGGACATGTGTAGCTGAAGGAATTTGGCAATATATTCCACGCGGCTTAATTGTTCATAGGCCACCGTCAACCACTACACCCTTTCCCTCCGCCTCCCGTTGCCACCTTAAAATCGGAAGTTCGAATTTCGTCCTTATGTCTTTTTTACACATAATGCACCGCCACTAGCTTTTTTCCAGACTTTAAATTTGTCAATTGATTATTTTAACATGAATATTTTTTTTTAAAAGCATGTATTTAAAGTAGGAGAGGAGGATGAGGTTCAAAACCCGAGAGCATTAGGTCCAACGACAGAGTTTGGTCATAAGACTTATTGTTGAATCCAATATTTGAACATGAATTCAAAATTTTGAATTAATTTTTTTTTATTGAATTTGAAATCGGAGAAGAAAATATTCAATCAAATTCCAATTTGCTGATATGTCTACTTGGCAGTGCTCAAAGGTGGTGATTATGCATTGTAAATGGCTCGGATTTTGATCTAATCCAACTAATCGTATATGAATTAATATTTTTTTTATCAACAATATGAATCTAATTTTGTTATATTTTCTTAATATTTTGACCTAATTATAATCCAAATTATATGTATATATATGATTAAATTGGGTGACCATTTAATAAAATTTAGTTGAGATTCAAGTAAATCTGATAAAAATACAATTTTAATTGAATTATTTGACCCTTATATTGTGTTTAATTGAATTATTTGACCCTTATTTTGTTTTGGGGTTAGATTCTAAATCATTGGAGACATTCCAAATTTATTCTTCAGGAATGGAGATTTTGGAAGCTAAATTTGGTAGGAAATTATCTTAAAATACGAAATTTTATGAAACTTCCAACCAAATAAAACTTTATATATTACCAAAAAAAACGTATAATTAACGCTTTTGATTCACGTGTTCTATAACGTTAAAAATGTGATTAAGCCTATTTTAGCACTTTATTTTTTTCGATCAAGGAAAAAAACGTGCAAGAATAGTAAATTTATAAAAGAAAAAAATTATTTACACTTGAAAATATTTTTATGATTGATGATATTTTTCTATCATTGGCTAATTTTGTAATGGAAGAACCTTTATTTGGAGTGTTAATGTTATTGGCCTGATTTGTACTCCTATTTCTAGGCAAAAGTGACCAATTTTAACTCTTGCTAGACATTCGTTTTTTAGGATATAAGAATCATGCTCGGAGGCACATTAAAAAAAATTGTTTCACTATAGAACTCTGTTTTTTTTGGTAATAAGGGAAATTTCTAGCATGTTATCGGTAAGTGGAGACGAAATTATGTCGTTCAGGCTCGTGAGTTTAAGTAAAATTGAGGACAAATCTCGGGTGTATGAATTGGTCCCTCAATTAATACATCTAGTTAAATTAAAATTTACGTTTTAGTGGGGATTCGAACTCATACCAGAAACTTAGATACGATTTGTTTAAGGAATTAAGGTCTATCATACCAATTAACTACGTTTTTGTCGTTAAAAAGACTTGAACTCCAGTTTTACTATTGGACTTGTTTTAATGCGTTGATAAAATTATTTCATTCTAATTTGCTTTTAATGAGTTTTAGACGTGAAAAAGAATTTTTTAAATAAAAAAATAAAATTAAGTATATTCAACTCTCTGTAAACTCGTAGTGATAGAAGTTATATGTATTGAATAGCCCTCATTGAGATAAATTGGAAAAGAAAGTGTGAATAAACACCACCTTATTTTTGCATCAATCTTGATAATTGATGGAAATTTATTGGGATATTGGTGATTGTTGGATGAATTTATTTAAGATCGTCGAATGAATTTATTAAAGATTGTCTTTTTTTATATTATAGATATATTCAAGCTATTAAAATCGTTTTATTATGCTGAAAAGAAGTCTCATCAACCCCTATTTATAAGTCATTTAATTTGTGATGGCTAAGCCATGTATTTCTTTCTGTGTCTCCGATGCTTTTGATGTCAATAATAATTTTGTCAAAATCAATATCACTCCATCACCAACCTGTTTGCGAACTGACCAATCAGGTTTTGTTAATTTCTATATAATAAAATAATTTACATTTCAAATTTTAAAAGATAAATAAAATAATTTTTGTTTTTCGCAGTTTAGATCACTTTAAATTTTATTTTAAAGTTAATCTAACGGCTAATATTAACACCCTAAATTTAATAGGAAAAATAAGTCTTTAAAGGTGTGTTTGAAGTGATTTTTTAAAAATATTTCTAAAAATTATTTCTTATAAATACTTAAAAAAAATAGTATTTGAAACCGTCCCACCACTACCGCCCCCACCACCACTACCGCCATCGTTGCCACTATCATCGCCGTCGTCATTGTCGCCTCTGTCGAAGCAGCCACCACCATCGTCTCCGTTAACACCACCACAATCGCTGTTGTCGCCACCACCACAACCACTGTCATCGCTGCCATCACCACTATCGCCATCGTCGTTACCGTCGTCGCTACTACCATCACCATCGCTGCCACCATAGTCATTGTCACCCACCACCACAACTATCACCGTTTTTTATTACCACCACTTCTCACCCCCATTACAATCGATGTTTAAATTCGTTTATCTCTCATCTATATTTATGATTTGATTTTGAATATGAATGCAAATATGTTTATTATTTACTATTTTTTATTATTTTGTGCCTTCAGGAAGAAACAATAACTAGTAATCAATATTTTTCCTAAAAGCACTTTTTTTTTTTGGAAAATACCATTTTATATCTTAAAAGATATTTTGATTTTGAATTTATACCTTTAAGTATTAAAAATTTTAATTTGTATCCTCGATATTATAAATTGGCATCAATGTGGACCTTGCTCAAATTGTTTTCAATTTTGTCGTTATAAATTAAAATTGATATTATGAATTGCATCTTTTTGCCTAAAACACTTACACGTCACATGCTTAAATTTATAACGAAAAATTGAACGAAAGTCTAAGTTAAGTCTACATTGTTATCATTTCATAACATTAAGGGTGTAAATTGAGAGTTTTAATATTTGAGAGTTTAAATTGAGAATTTAAACATTTTTTAGGGTATAAAATGAAATTAATCACGCTTTTTCTTTATTTAAACTAAATTTTGGAAATATAAAATGAAAAATGGGATACCACAACAAATATCAAAAAAAAAATTATGGAAAAAAACTGAACAGCATCCTCTCTTACCCCTCTCTTTCACCCTTGGCCACCTAGTTACCCCTATAAAAAAAACCCCACTCAGCACTGCCTAACCCTCGAGAGAGAGTGAGAGTGAGAGGGTAAAGGGCTTGAATTAGGGGCAGTTTTTATTGTGGAGAAGGGCGGTGCCACAAGAGAAAGGCAATGGGAAGGATAGGGCGGGGACCGGACAAAAGGGATCGAGATGCCCTATGGGAATTGAGTTTTAAGGCCTATTTGGGAGAGTTAGAAGAAGGGCTGATAGCTGTTGTAGTTGAACTAGTTTGAATGAGTTCAAATCAAATTTTTTAAAAAAAAATTATTTAAATTTAACTTCTTTAAAAATTTAGTCGAGCTTGAACAAGTTCAAAATAAGTCAAATCTCAGTCGAGCATGAATATTTACATATAAACAATTCAAGTTTATCGAGTTCGAATCGAATCTGTCGGGCTCGATTTCTAAACAAAAAATTGATCAAATTCGACTCATTTGGAAAACAAATTGAACTTGAACGAATCAAAAACGAGCCGAGCTCAAAAAACTCGATTTGATTAATAGCCCTAGTTAAAAATATGGAGATAAATGAAAGAAATATGATAGAAAAGATTAACACACTTCCTGCATAAAATAATTTAATTTTTGTTTTAAAAATGAAAAAACGAGAGAGACGGAACTCTTTCTCTTCTGTTATCCATTGTACTTTCATATACCATAGTTGGTTTTTAGTACTTAGTGTAGAAAGACAAATAAATGCATGATATAAAAAGTGAATTTTTTTTTTTTTTTTGGGTTTTTCGCATTTTTTATTCTAAAAAATTTAAACTTTTTTACTTTATATCCTTAAAGATCAAATTTTTTATATTACACTCTTAATATATCAAAAGTGTTACTATGTAGTCCTTCTATTAGTTTCCGTTATTTTCCTCGTCAAAAGTCAATTTATTGACACTAAAGAAAAAGTTAACAAAAATGTTACATTGCAATATATTTGTTACATTGAGGGTACAATGTCAAAAATTTAATATTTTAAAATATAAATTAAAAAACTTAAAAATTTTCAAAATATAAAGTCTAACTTCACCTTTTTTTTTTTTTTTGCTTATCTCTCCACAAAAGGAGGGCTTTTGGTGTCATCTAATTTTATTGATAGTTATTAAAAGTTAATTATAAATTTATTTCTAAGTTCATCTCTAACATTGAGTTGAAATTTTTGTTCAAATTTAAATCAACATTTGAGAAAAAAGTTGATTGGATAGAGATCACTCTAATGGACAAACTCAAATTTAGAAGAGTATAGACTCAAATAAGAGAAATACTATGTAACTCAAATCCGTAACCTAAATTTGCATCTCAAATGAAGGGAGATTATTGAATGATTGAGTTTCATCAACTTTTTTAAATGGACAAACTCGAATTTAAAGGAGTATAGACTCAAACAAGAAAAATACTATATAAACCAAATTTGCATCCCAAATGAAAATAGACTATTGGATGAGTAGGTTCCATTAGCTTTTTTAAACGAACAAACTTGAATTTAAAGGAGCATAGATTCAAACAAGAAAAATACTATATAATCCAAATTTACATCACAAATGAAAAGAGACCATTGAATGAGTGGGTCCCACTAATTTTTTTAAATGAGACTCACTTATCCAACTGTTCACTTTCATTTTAGATGCAAATTTGAATTGCATAGTATTGCTCTTCAAACAAACTCTCATATAAAAGAGGGTGAAATATAATTATTCAATCTTCAAAGGAAGTAGAATTTAATCATTAAAAATTTGAATATCCTTTTATTTGAGTCTGCTTTTATTTCCTAAGATTTGAGTAAAGGATTGAAGTTTATTGTTAAACTTTTATACTCAAATTAAATTTAGGTCAAAATTTGAGTAAATATTAGAGATGCCATAATATTTTTTTTTTTCTCTTAAAGGATGCTCAAACTTACATCGACTATTTCCTCAAGCTTAGTCATAATATTTTATATCTTCATTCCATTAACCACTTATAACTTTACTTCTATCGCATTTAAGCACCTCTAATTTCCACTCAACCACATTTAACCATATAAATTTATCTGTTCTAGTTTATTTTCACTTTTCAAATCTTTCTCATTCTTCCTACTTGCACATTGGTATTGTGTATGCACGAGTCTATGTAAATAAAACAATGGTTTTATTGTGAGGACTAAAAGTTTTTTTTGAGATGTAAACAATTCAAATTCGAATACTTGTATAAAAGAAAAGAATTATATTACATTAGTCAGGGTGGACTTGTTAATATTGTCGGGTGAAGTGAGTTCGTATTGAGTTTTAACGGATTCATGTTAAAAAATATTTTATTTATATCCGATTTATTTATTAATTTGTGTCGAATTCGTATTATATATAAATTATGTATAACCGATATATAAATGAGACGTATCATTTATTTTTTTTATTGGCTTCTCACATACTTGATTGATTCATTTATTAGTTGTATCTTATTAGATCTACTTATTTATAGAAAGAGTGGCTTAAGTAAGATTCATATCCTCTGATGACGTAAGGTATTCGTGTCATATTAATGAATCGTATTATATTTTAAGGCCTAGATCATTATATATGTGTTAAGGGCCAATTTATAGGCAAGTCCATAGGCCCATATAACGGTAATCAGATTCATCTCCACGGTCCACCTCACCTGATTAATNATCATTATATATGTGTTAAGGGCCAATTTATAGGCAAGTCCATAGGCCCATATAACGGTAATCAGATTCATCTCCACGGTCCACCTCACCTGATTAATCAGCAAAATCGAACGGTCCAAAACTCAAAAAAATAATTCAAATTAAAAATCAACGCCCCTAAAATCAAGCCCTACAAAACTAGCCGTTACAAGAGCGTCCAAAGCTCAACGTTATTCTTTTTCTCTTCCCCATCTATTCCTCTTCCCTCATCAATGTCAAGAGTCACCCTAACATTTCAACTAGCCTAACCCTCTCTCTCTCTCTCTCTCTCTCTCTCTNCGTTACAAGAGCGTCCAAAGCTCAACGTTATTCTTTTTCTCTTCCCCATCTATTCCTCTTCCCTCATCAATGTCAAGAGTCACCCTAACATTTCAACTAGCCTAACCCTCTCTCTCTCTCTCTCTCTACGCACCATCTCCCCAATCCTCCGGTCAAAAACATCGGGCGAGTTTTCCTATTTTCCGGCGACTTTCCGATGAACCCTAAGGGCAAGACCTCTGGAGAAATGACCCCCACAAAAGACTCGCCATCGATCTCTAGAAAGTCCGAGAATATCAACCCAAATGTTACCAGTCCTGGTTTGAGAATTTTGAATTCGCCATTACAAAAATCGGCAACAAAGCCCCAAAAATCTGCTTCTAAAAACCCTAACCCGGTGGTCTCTCCATTGCCGCAGAACAAGATTCGAGGAAGAAAGTTCTTGGTGGCGAAGAAGAACTCGAAGAAAGAGAAAGTGAATTCTTCAACTGTGACTTGTAAGTGTAATGTTGGTGGTGGTCAGTCACAAAAGTGTCTTTGTGTTGCCTATGAGAGTCTTAGGGCTTCGCAAGAAGAGTTTTTCAAGAACCGGAGTGTTGTANGAAGAAGAACTCGAAGAAAGAGAAAGTGAATTCTTCAACTGTGACTTGTAAGTGTAAGGTTGGTGGTGGTCAGTCACAAAAGTGTCTTTGTATTGCCTATGAGAGTCTTAGGGCTTCGCAAGAAGAGTTTTTCAAGAACCGGAGTGTTGTAGATGTTGAAAATGAGTCCGAAAAGTTAAAGAATTCAGAAAGAACTGCGATTGAAATTGAAGAAAAAGAAGAAGTAGAAGAGGAGAAGAATTATATAGTTCGAAATACTAATAATGGGAATGGGTTTGGAGGGAAAATAGAGGAAGATGATTTAGATAAGCATGATTCAGATGAGTTTGAGGTGNATTCAGAAAGAACTGCGATTGAAATTGAAGAAAAAGAAGAAGTAGAAGAGGAGAAGAATTATATAGTTCGAAATACTAATAATGGGAATGGGATTAGAGGGAAAATAGAGGAAGATGATTTAGATAAGCATGATTCAGATGAGTTTGAGGTGTCTAGTGAAGTGGGTAGCGTAAATATTAAGAGAAGGAGGGACAAGTTGTTGGAAGAAGCAAGAGAGAGAGCGCCAGAACCTGGGGCTGGAAGAGTATTGGAGTTGGTTAAGGCCTTTGAGCAGTTACTTTCGATACCAAAGTCAAAGGACTCGGATCAAAAAGAAGAAAAGGAATTGGAAGATACTAAGAAAGGAATTAAATGGGCATTGCCAGGATTGCAACCTACTGAGGTTCCTGAAACACAGGTCTCTGCATCTTCTTTCTGTCCATCAGATTTTTTCATCACATCAGAGAGCTTAGGTTTGGATTCACGTGTTTGCTCTTCATTGGACAGCAGCCAAGGAAGGTTTGTGATAGTAATGCGATTTACTAAACCAATGATTTTAATTTATTTAAAGTCTTTTTAAGTTGGTTTTTGATTGAGTTTGCATTTGACTCTTTTTGAGCTTTAGTATTTCAAACAGGACCTCTGGTGGAGGTCGGAGGAGCCGTCGAAATGTAAGTATTTTGTTTCCATTTTTTTNAAACCAATGATTTTAATTTATTTAAAGTCTTTTTAAGTTGGTTTTTGATTGAGTTTGGATTTGACTCTTTTTGAGCTTTAGTATTTCAAGCAGGACCTCTGGTGGAGGTCGGAGGAGCCGTCGAAATGTAAGTATTTTGTTTCCATTTTTTCCATTCAAAAGGATATGGATTATGTGTTTATTTGCATCATGATCATATTTGATTTCTAAATTGCAGAGCACTGAGTCATCTGGGACCTTTGGTGGAAGACACTGGAAGAGGAGACAGCTCAGAGCAACCAGCCAGAAACCTTTCAAGCTTAGAACAGAGGTTTGTGTTATTCAGTTATTACTTGTGTATGTGGGGCCATATTCTAGCTTTAGAGGGTCTTGTTTGCTCAGGAATCTTTCAAACTTAGAACTGAGGTTTGTGCTATTCGATTATTATTTAAATCTTTGTTATCTTATTCTTGCTTTATCGGGTCTTAGTCAGCATCATTGTTTTCAGTACTATCTTGATTATGAGTAAGTATCCTTGACATTTTATAACACAATAAGTTTGCACTTCCAAAATGGATCTAGTTAGGAAGCTTGAGTTTCAATAAGATAGACAAACATATATTTATAATAAAGAGGAAAAAATTTACATCCCCTTCATTGAAGAAAATATCAGTCTATCATCATAAAGAGATTTGAAGTTGGGGTGGGGGTGGGGGGGGTTGAGGTGGTCATGTCTTGACAATGGGTGTGTCTGAGGCCATAAATTGGTTGTTGGCTGTAAATTGTTTGGCATATAATTCGGAATAGAAATGCCAGGCCCACAATATTTTGACCATATCTTTTATGTCATTTTTTATTTGCTGCAAGTGGCTGTTATTTTATTAGTGTTAGCTATATTATTGTCTTGATCTAAGTTTAGGCCTTTAGGATAAGATACAAACGGATAGAAGCTGAATAGCTGATCAATAGAAGTGTAAGAAGCAAGGTTTACCACAACCTAACTGAAGAGTATGTGGGGTGTTCTAAGATCTTGTAATTCACTGACAACAAAGATGTTTTAGGCTTTAGAGAAAAACTAACAAGCTGTAAGCCATATAAAGGGGATGATATTTTGTTAATTCTGTTGTTTGGAAACAAAGCACCATCCACGTGGCTAATATATAGTCTGCATGTTTCAATGCTATATAGAATGACATCCAAAATGAATGCCATTGATATTTTAAATTAAGTTTTTTGAAGCCTTATGACAAAGCCTGCAAACCATGGACAAATTATTAATATTGTTGTGGCATTCCGAACCAAAACATATAACTGAGGAGGATACCAATCATTTTTGGCTCATTCTCTTTGTTATAGATTTTATTGGAGAATTGAGTTTCAGGAAATTTTACAAACATTTCAAAATTAGTGACTGTCTCATGCAAGTAACCTCTGCTTTTATTGTTTCTTTATTCGCCTCACCCCTTCTCTCGTGAATGTCATAAATTTTCTTGGTTGACTGTTACTGCAGCTAAGGGGAAGGTCTAAGGAGGAAGAATTCGTCAAGAAAGTACAGCAAATGATGGAGGAGGAGGAAAAACAGCGGATACCAGTTGCTCAAGGGCTCCCATGGACAACAGATGAGCCAGAGGTGAGCCAATTACTCATGATACCTGAGTTGATGCATCCCTATATGCTTGAAAATATGAAGTCTCATATGAGGAAGTGAAAAATGGAACTTTGTTGAGGTGTACTGAATGGACATGAACTTTTCAGGCCAAATCTCTCGTTAGTATATTCTGTTCTGGAGGCCTTTTTGTAATAGGCATTAGATACATCTTTGCCTCGCATATTCAGTTGAAATAATGTGGTTTACGTTGTTTCAGTGCTTGGTAAAACCTCCTGTGAAAGAATCTACGAAACCCATTGATTTGGTGTTGCACAGTGATATCAGGGCTGTGGAGCGTTCTGAGTTTGATCATCAGGTACATTTCTTTTGATTCTAATTTACCCAGAATATTGAATTCATCATATTAGCAGTTGCAGTTATTGGTTATTTGGACCGAAAAAAGAAAAGAAGAGCCATCAGTCATTCGTATGTATCTTTAGAGTCTAAGAATCTTTCATTGAAATGCCCCACTGTCTATTAATCTCACTGCAAAATGTTGACGTGAAAGTGATCTGGTCAAAAATTTTAAGAGTTCTAAGCTGTGATGACGAACATTTTTCTCTCTTTTTCGTGTTTAGGCTGCTTTTATGTTTGAGCTTTCTATTATTATTACTCCTAGATTGTTAGACTAACCAATTTTAGTATCTCACTAATTCAATTGGCATGAGTGGGGATGCACCAAAATAGATAGGAATAATGTTCATTACACGACTATTGTGCTTCTGGAGTTTGCTTATTAACCCAGTCAACTATAAGGTGACAATTAACTGATTTTTTTGTCAGTTACAGTTGGGCTTGTTTTTCCTCTTCTGCCGCNAACAATAACATCAGGAGGTTGAACTCAACCGCCTCCAAATCTATGAAAGGTTGGCTACGGCATTCATTCTAGATCTATCTTTCTCATGCCTTGTTGACCTGGTTGGCCACATTACTGAGTTCCTAAGAACAATCAAGGAAGATTAAAGATTAACCCCAACGACAAACAAACCTAGGGGCTGGCATTTTTACCCCACGCCCCCCGCCCGGGGGGGGGGGGGGGGGGGGGGGAGGAATTTAAAACTCTAGTGTATTTGTATACATCTATGGAAAAGGCATTCACAGATAATACTCTCCCTTTACTTGTGCTTTTCCCCCCTGTATGCATATTAGGTGACAGAGAAGTTGAACTACATTGAACAATACAAGATGGAAAGGGAGAGGCAGGNTAGTGTATTTGTATACATCTATGGAAAAGGCATTCACAGATAATACTCTCCCTTTACATGTGCTTTTCCCCCCTGTATGCATATTAGGTGACAGAGAAGTTGAACTACATTGAACAATACAAGATGGAAAGGGAGAGGCAGGAGAAGGTATATAAGCATAAAAGTTTTGTGATTTTTTGCAGTGTTTTCAATTGGTCGTCTAGTTTACTATGCATACTTGTATATTGTTCTGTTGATGTTATAGTTGGCGGAAGAGGAAGAAATACGGAGGCTGAGAAAGGAGCTTGTTCCAAAGGCGCAACCCATGCCCTACTTTGATCGGCCCTTCATTCCCAGAAGGTAAACATGTTTCAATATTAAAATCTTCGTGTTGTTGAATTTTTAAGTCACATATGACCTGGTTATCTGATTCTGTTTGTCTTAGGTCAATGAAGCATCCCACCATACCTAGGGAGCCCAAGTTCCATATATCTCAAAATAAGAAGATCAAGTGCTGCACGCAGTCTTGGAACGACTTGTATGCATCCCACCAGCAGTGGGATGTGTAGGGACATGACGAGATGAAAAACTTTTCAAATTTTTTAGTTCATTTGTAATCGATTTCCAGTAATGTTCTCTTGTTTGTATATGAAGCAATAAGTATGTTACAATTTTGGGAAACAATCAGGCTGTGGCTGGCACAATTGTGTGCCTGCCATCTTAATGAAAGTTCCATGGTGATATGTTCAGGGGCCAAACAGCAACGAGTTTAAATAATTTACGTGATTAAAGATCAAGTCCAATGCTTAAGGCACCAATGTAAACCTGCAAAGTGGGATCACAAGACTCTACCGTGCAAAATGCTTAAGACACCCCTTTGGGGGCATATTTGTTTCAAATAGAATATAAGTCTATTGGAAATGTATTTCTTACATTTTCAATACTAATGGATATTAGTGTCGATAATAAAAATTATTTCAATCTAATCTCATATTTGTTTATTCAATGGGTACTATAGTGGATCTAACAAACAACCATCTATTATATCACATCTTATATAAGTGTATAACAAATATATTATTTTACTCTTAACATCATCTATTCTATTCAAAATAATTTTAAAAAAAAAAAACCAATAATATCGTACGCTTAAACATAATACAAGAAAAAAATTTTAAAAAAATCTTTAACACTTTACGCTTAAACATAATATAAAAAAAAAATTCAAAATAATTTTTTTTATAAAAATTAAACCAGTGACATCGTACGCTTAAAATAATATAAACAAAAAATTCAAAATAAATTTTTTATTTGTGAACTCTTCACATAGAAGGGCATTTGTGTCATTTTATTCACTTATACCGTCTTTTCATTTGTACCGAGAAGATAATCCCACCTGCTAGGTGGTATTCATTAATACCATATAGAAGGCACTTAAGTCACTGTTCTTACCGCATCGGTATTACGATCCGGAATGTAGTACTAATATTAAAATGACAAACAAATAAGATATAAGGTAGACCTCCCGTACTATTTTCCTAATCTCACCTCCTTATACCACCTCTAATACTCTATCCTTCAACCAAACATGCCCTTTGGTCTCTTAACAATCTAGGAGTAAATTTGGATAGATGAGAATACATACAAAAGGCAAAAAACCGCTTAGATTTGTGAAGGATGATTCAATTATCACGCTGTGAGAAATTTTTTAACTTCCCACTTACATTTTTCCATATTTCAACCAGAGGATGCAACAGAGACAATACTATAAAAATTCTAACCAAAAAATTAGACATTTTATACTCTCAAAGAGTGTTTTGTCGTGCTATGTCATTGACATATCTCTAGACCGTCAGATGGAGACAAAAGAACAACTACAGTAGCGCCAGATTCCTCTCATCTCCCTTTTTCCGTTGATACCTCTCAGTTCTAAAGCAATTAATAGCCGCACGGGGTGACTTTCTTTTCTTGAACCAGTCAAGTCAAGCTTCTTCTTTCCTCCTCATTTCTTGCAATAAAACACCGGGAATTAAGTAAATTAAGCAATAGCATAACAACTCTTTCCCTTGTTTATTAGAAAGGGACTGAAATACTATATCTGGGCTAGCACGACTCCAACCCTACCAAGGCTTGAGCACTTGGGGTGAGGTGAGCGGTAAGAGAGTTTATGACTATGAAACAAAGAAGAGTAATAATAATAAGTATACAACAAGAAATAAGCAGAAATAGGCGCATATAGATCAAAATAAGAATGAAATAGATAAGAAAATAATTATAAGCTAAAATACTATAAATAAGGAAATAGGTATACAGCAAGCATATCAACAAGCCAAACAAGAAAACAATTGGCAGTTGACAGATATGGGCTTCGATCCAATCAGTGCGACAGGTGCTAAGGTTAAGCATGAATAAAGGATGAACCTGCTAGCCTATCCGATCCAAACCACATTTTTGCAACTCAAACAGAACTTAAAAATGATAGATTAAATCCCAAACTCCAACCGCCAAAATAACACAAAGTGAAACAAGTTTAGTGTGTGACACTGGCATTTGAGACTAAAAATTGTTTATAACAAAAATCCAAAGCAACCTCTCTCCAAGCTATAACAAAATACTACATATTATCAAAACATGGTGGGATGCTGTAGCAGAGCTCATGGGTCCATTGATCAAGTGGCGACCACAATCCGTCCAGCAACTTGGTCAAGGTCTCTCTGGCCACTGGATGTTATTCTTCTCCCGCTGAGATAAAACCAGTAAAGGCATCAGAAAAAGTAATTAATTGATACCCAGACTGAATCTTGGGATGGTAATATTCTAAAGCATGTTCCAAATTTTTTGTGGAATGTAGTGGAATGTGGAGCAGCAGGTATCTATGATAGTCCATTCAGTTGACAACGNGTTATTCTTCTCCCGCTGAGATAAAACCAGTAAAGGCATCAGAAAAAGTAATTAATTGATGCCCAGACTGAATCTTGGGATGGTAATATTCTAAAGCATGTTCCAAATTTTTTGTGGAATGTGGAGCAGCAGGTATCTATGATAGTCCATTCAGTTGACAACAAACCCAAACAACTGCTGTTGGTCATATGATACTCTTAATGACATGATGTAGAGATCGAGGGGGACACCATAATTACAGTGTGGAAAGGATATTCAAGTGTCTAAGCTGGATTTTTGTTCGTGCTCACTCATGCATCTCAAACTATGTATTAAGGGAAATGAAGCAGAATTAGGTCAAAAAGCATGCAAAAAAGAAAGCACATGGAAAACATTAGCTCACCCTTTTGGTTCCATGTCTACAATGTTCATTTTTTGCAACTGTTGAAGAATGTGACGAGCAACAGCTCCACTGCTTTTGCAGAAATGTGGAGGACGACTTCCATTCCTCTTGCTTCCACCGTAAATTCTACGGAAGGCACCCACACCAAGGCCCTGCCTCAAGTAGATCTTCCTAGCCATGGAAGCTGCAATATACAGGAACCATATCAGAGCAGGTGTCGTATAAACACATTTCGAACCATACAAGTACATATGTAGAACATAAGAACAACACACATCCACACACATGCATCCACACATAGATACACAAGACCACGAGTAAAGGGGAGCTNTAGATCTTCCTAGCCATGGAAGCTGCAATATACAGGAACCATATCAGAGCAGGTGTCATATAAACACATTTCGAACCATACAAGTACATATGTAGAACATAAGAACAACACACATCCACACACATGCATCCACACATATATACACAAGACCACGAGTAAGGGGGAGCATACCAGCTCTGATATAATACCAATCCGGGTCATAGGGAGCAAGTTCTTTAAATCTACCAGTCTTCACGATATCAGTCCAGTCAGGAAGTTCCATCTATCCGTAAACAATTGAACGAAAACAGTAAAATAAAACTGGGATAAGAGCAGCAGTATTGATATAAAGATATCATAAAAGGATAGCAAACAAAACAAGAAAAAATATTAGGTTTCTTATCATCCATAATATTTTCAATCACTGTAAAATAATTAGAAAGACAATAAACTCTCATCAATTAGCATACACAATATTTCTTAGCTTCAATCAACTTGTAGACAACATGCATCCTTCATTTAAATCACCAATGAAACCACAGACTTTTTTTTTTTTTAACAGGCACCGCAGACTATATTAGTGGACCCATATACCAACGATATGGATAGACAGGGCAAAGCAATGTAAATCAACCCACCCATCCACTCATCCACTCACTAAGTCACTATATATATGAGCATTTCAATCATCACAAATCCAATTTCTCACAACAGCAGGGAGAGGAAGATGAAGCACAAGAAATAAGATACACTTTCCATAATTTGTAAGATACAACACAAAAGGTAAGACATCCGTTGTAGTCATCACTATATCATGCATTATGTTCCGAGAACTTGTTATTTAGATGATATTCTTTACCTAAGTTAAAATCGCAGCAGCAGCCTTCTTTGTGCTGGCCATCTATACAATGCCAATTTTTTCTGTCAGAGGGTTAAGATATGTGCATCATGTGTGTCTGTTTGGGATGCATACATCATGTTTCCCGGAATTTACGCACATATTCAATTAACAAGAACCCTCAAGAACAAGACAACACAACTGATGAAACATCATCTGACTTCACCCTCAAAAACCTAGTTAGCTCATATCAATCACCCTTCCCATCTTTTGCTATCGCCTACTCCTAAAACTGTCCGATCAGAAACTGAATTGAGCAAACTCCAGCTGTGACAATAGATTCAAGACTTTCAAGTCAATTTTAGTATGAGGTAGAAATCAAATTTCTCGATCAGCCATGCGATTGTGCTTCCATCAACACCGTACACTCATCTTAACAAAGGTGTAAGGATCCACATGTTTATGTGCATATATGAATCAGCAACAATTTTTTTTTATGCGAGAGGTGTTAACAAAAATTCATTCTTTGAGTGATGCGAAATAAAACCTAATGAAAAATGTTCTTGGGAGTGCAAATTAACATACTTTGCCGGATCGTTTGAGGTGATCAGAGTAAGCCTTGACGAACTCGTGAGGAGAGACGTCCTTCACAGTTCTCGCAGTCGCCATTGTTGAATGCTTTGAAACGATACCTATGGACCACCTCTCGGGCAAGAGAAGCTGTTACAGGGGATCAAAATGACGTGCTAGGGTTTTTTCCCTTCTACTATTTTATGTGTGGAGGCGTTGGGCTTTTTTTTCGAGACAGTTTAATGGACCGGACTCTCGATCCATTGGGTCTATGATTGAACGTTGTAAGGGTTAACAGAAAACCCACCGAACGGTTTTTTTTTTTTTTTAATTGAAAATTGATCTCCTACTTAATATTATAATCTATTTTTAAGGAGCACTTAACATATTAAAAGAGTTTAAATTTTAGTTACTAAACGAAATTAATTAATAAGTATTTAATACATTCATTTTAAGTGCTGAATTTAAATTAACAAACACATCCNAGGAGCACTTAACATATTAAAAGAGTTTAAATTTTAGTTACTAAACGAAATTAATTAATAAGTATTTAATACATTCATTTTAAGTATTGAATTTAAATTAACAAACACATCTTTAATAATTCTAACAATTTAGTGAAACTAAATTTACCTTTTAGCACTTAGAGCACACCGTAAGATCTTAACTTTGGGCATGACATAAATGTAGTGAAATTTCATGCAAATAACTACGTTGAGGATTATCAAGGTGGTAGCCTAGTTGCCAGCAGTGGGTGAAAGTCTCGTCTTCTTTCAATTGTCGTAGGTTCGAACTCACTTACAAAAATAATTTATGTGAACTAGATACTACAATAAATGTTAAATGTTTAGTTTGTCCTCGGTAGTGCTATGGTGACAAAATTAACCATCACAAGTCAATTATGATTCAATTCGAATATTCTACGATGGTGTGAGAATCTTAAGATAATGTCTTGAGGGGTTGTTATGTTTGGTCGCTCCTGACCATCCTTCTTAACTAGCAATAAAGACAATATAGTATTTGAGGAGTAATGTTCCCTAACAAATAAACTTAATTTGAGTATATATTAGTTTTGTTTAATAAATAGATCAATATAAACTTAAGAGAAAATTTCATCCATACCCCCCTATTAGGTCTAAATTTAATGACACCACCATCCGATTTTGAAACTTCACTGTCACTTCCTCTCAGTGTTTATCGGGTTACAACATTAACAGTAATTGTTAATTTATAAAATTATCCCTAAATATTTTATAGGATAAATTTTATTCACACTCTTTGTAAATAAACATAACTTTAACAACGTTTACTATAAATAGACCTATCTTTAACAATACTCCCTCCCAATTTAGAAATTTCAATATACTCCATTTAATTCTATTATATTAACTTTTAGCATTATCAATTTAATATTTAATTTTATTAAACTAATATCATTTATTTACACAAATTGATATTTAATTTTATCAAATTAGCATTTAGTTATATTAATTTAACATTTTATTTCATTAAATTAATATTATTTCGTTCATTTAAAATTAAATTATTATTTAATTTCATCAAATCAACACTAAATTGACATTTAATTTTATTAAATTAAAATTTAATATAGTAAATTCTATTAATTTAACATTTAACTATATCAAATTAATGTCAGTTAGTTAATTTAATATCAAATGAATATTCATTTTTATTAAAATAATATTTAAATTTATTTAATGAATATTAAATTTTATCAAATCAAACCTGGATATAAATATCAAATTAATATTTAAATTTTATATATGAGGGGGTGATGTAAGAAGAGTGGTTAGGTAACATTGTGGATGACAGACGATAGCAGAAAAGTCATAAATGAATGAGATTTTGACATAAACTTTATCGATTGTAATTTTTATTATAGAAAAATAAACAAAACTTACAAAAATTCGATTATGTAACAAACGAGTGATAATATGATTACTAATATTATAACGAAGTTATCGTGCAATGCTTTAAATTAATAAAAATTTATTAGGATAATATAATGATATAAATCACATGTATGTCAAACTTCTCCTCCCCTATGTCTCTGCCTCTACCAATGGTTGAAAAAGACATCAATCCTACAATAAAAACATCACAACATATTGACAAAACAAAATGAAAGAAAATAAATAAATAAAATGTACATGAAAAAAATTAAAAATATATGCATGAAAAAAATTTAAAAAATTGAATGATTTTTTTTAAAAAGAAAATTAAAAAATATTTGCATGATTTTTTTTTTAAATCTACAAGAATTTTTTTATTTATTTTTTACTAATTTAGGTAATGATCGATCACTGTGGAGAATGAGTTGAAGACGAATGACTGGTTTTAGTCCCCTATGTTTTCCAACAACACCAGATCATTTTTGACATTCTGCAACAACAAATGGTATGGTATATATAATTGGAAAATGGTCGAAGACATTTTAGTATATTTACATAAAAAATAATAGTTTTAATATTTTCAAAAAATTTATAGTTAGACCATTACTTTTTATACTGATAGAGTTAAAAATCACCGTTAAAAAGGTGTATTTGATTTAAAAGTATAAATTAAAAAAAGGTGTAATGAAGTTTCAGAATTGAAAAGGAGTGTCATTAAATTTATATTTAATTAGAAGAGGTGTAGGTGAAATTTTTTCTAAATTTAATTTTATACGATAATAAATAATTAATTTGTATTGAATAAATTTTTTCATAATACAACTTATATATCAGATCTGACATTAAATTGAGTTTTTAAATCCAAAGTCAAACTGAAAATTGAAAATCTTCGTTCGAACACTTATAATAATATAAATTGAATTCGAATTGAAATCAACTTAACTTGGATACGTTAAACCTCTAAATTGCCCACACCAGCGGGCGGATGTATCATTTCGGGTTAGAATGGGACCGAAACAAATACGACGCCGTCTAATTGGCATAAAACACTATTCCTATGATAATACGGCGCCGTATATGCGCATATGCATTTCCCGCAATCTCCTCCCAAACAAACACCACAGTCACAGGTGAAGAACGCCTCTCACACTCGTCATCTCTCTCCCTCTCTCGTCAGTTCTGAGCAAACCCTAAACCTAGAAAACAACACTACATCCATGGCGATACGGCACCTCCTAACCCTAGCTCGCCGGTCCCAAAAACCCACCCGGTCTTCTCCACTTCAAATCTTCAGATGCCTCTCCACCTCCTCCGCCGCCGCCGTCGCCACCCCTTCTTCATCCCCTTCTTTGCCTTCACCACCATCCCCAAACTTCATGATCTACGACCGCCTCGCTGAATCCGTCAAATCCAAACTTAGAACGTTCGAAAATCCCGACCCACGTTTCTTAATCCACAACTCACCTCACCCAATCATAACCGACCACACTCCCATCCTCTCTTCCCCACTCACCCGGGTCACCACTCTCCCCTCCGGCCTCCGCGTCGCCACCGAGTCGAACCTCGCCGCCAAGACAGCCACCGTCGGCGTCTGGATCGACGCCGGATCAAGGTTCGAGACAGAAGGGACTAGTGGCACCGCCCATTTTCTTGAACATATGATTTTCAAGGGCACAGAGAAGAGGTCGGCGAGGGAACTAGAAGAAGGGATTGAGAATATGGGGGGACATCTGAATGCGTACACTTCGAGGGAGCAGACCACGTATTATGCGAAAGTGATGGATAAGGATGTGAACCAGGCCTTGGACATTTTGGCTGATATTTTGCAGAATTCGAAGTTCGACGAAAGACGGATTACCCGGGAACGCGATGTGATTCTCAGAGAGATGGAGGAGGTAGTGTCATTTATGAGATATTGCGTCCTCATTGTATTTTTTTTCCCATATCGATTGAAGTAAAGTTTGTGTTTTGGCTATGATTTTTGATAAGTTCGTGTTTCTGATTTAATTGTTTGCGTGTTGTGATTGGTTATATTTGTTTTATGGTTTCTATCCTTCTAGGGGGATAATTGGGGCTCATTCTTTGGTTTATAAACGAAATCAGTGTCTTTTTTGTGATGTCAATTGACAGAAGTCATATTCAAGGCATTTGTTGATGTGCTTTTGAGAGAAAATGAATAGCTTAATGGAGTACTTCATTCAAGATTTGTGTTTTTTTTTTTTGGACAAAGTAATTCATTCAAGATAGAGTGCCAAAAATAGGCCACAAGGCAGTCAGCAGTGGCACAACAATATAATTGTATTAGACAAGTCAATCATGATGGTTTTTACAGCTTTCCATTGCATCTTACAACGATGACGAGTTCTCAGAATTCCCGGTAATGGGCTTTACCACCTTTTCCTTGCATTGGTGTACCTACACATGCTCGATGGTCCATTACTGATAGATGGCTGAGAATCTTCGGCCTTTTTAAGTGGATTTGTCATCCTAGCTATGTTCCTTTTACATTGTGTTTTGGGTATGCTAAACTGTCTTGAATTAACTATTTTGCCCTCCTCTTATTATCATTTAAACTGTTAATGGACGTATATTTGTCATTGTAGGTGGAAGGGCAGATGGACGAGGTTATTTTTGACCATCTCCATGCAACTGCATTCCAACATACTCCTCTGGGTAGGACAATTCTTGGTCCTGCTGACAATATCAAGACAATATCCAAAACAGATATTCAGGAGTATGTATCAACACACTACACTGCTCCCAGAATGGTACAGAACCACTACAGATTAACTAATGGGGCTTATGCCTATTCATGGATTATTATGGATAACATTTTACTTTCCTTCTGTTGTTCACTTTTGACGTTTTTAAATGGGGCTTACTATCTGGGGCCTCCATTTTAGGTGATTGCTGCTTCTGGAGCTGTTAAACACGAAGATATTGTTGGGCAAGTAAAAAAGTTGTTCACTAAGTTGTCGACCAATCCAACCACAGCTTCTCAGTTAGTTGCTAAAGAACCTGCTACCTTTACAGGTTCTGAGGTGGGCTTTAGCAGTTTTGAGCCTTCAGTGACCTCATTAAATGGTAATGATCTTTTGTCAGGCTGTCTCTGACCGAGTTCTTTATTGGTTGTGTGAAATCAGGTTAGGATAATTGATGATGATTTACCTCTTGCTCATTTTGTGGTTGCTTTTAATGGGGCATCTTGGACGGATCCAGATTCCATTGCTTTGATGGTTATGCAGTCAATGTTGGGTTCTTGGAGTAAGAATGCAGGTGGTGGAAAGCATATGGGGTGAGTAGTTGTCTCATCATTAGGGGGTTTATGTGTTCACAGAAGTCATTGCCTGGGAAATCAATCTCTGAGCACATGCATTGACTAGTTTTAACTATTTTTATACAGTTCTGAGCTTGCACAGAGGGTTGGCATAAATGAAATAGCTGAGAGCATGATGGCTTTTAACACTAACTATAAGGACACAGGACTTTTTGGTGTTTATGCTATTGCTAAGGTGGGTCACTTCCCAGATTTATCAGCTTTGTTAATTTTATTGCATTTTTTTTCTAGGAGTTTCATGTGTGAAAATATTTATGGTAAAGTGGCATCTTATTTCTTATTTCTTATTTCTATTTTTGATGACTTTGTGACTCGGCAAAAAATTGATCATTTCTATGCCTCTTACGGTGAAATGATTAGATCTCACCTTTTTCTTTCCTTTTCTGTTCTGCTCATTTTCCCTTGTACTTTTCATACTCGGAATTGTATAGGAAGGATGGCCCATGTACTTTTCATACTGGGAGTTGTATTGGAAGGATATTTATGAAACAACACTTTTGACTGCATCAGGATCCTTGCATTGTAATGACCTTAGATTGAAAGTGTATGTAACAAAATAATATTTGTAGCCGGGTACTTGGGTTGTGAGTAATAATTGCACAGTGGGTGGTCTGTTTTAGAGAGAGAGAAAGAATTGAGTAGGCAAGTGAGGAACCAAAGAAGCAGAGAAATTAGTGTTAATGTAAAGGAAAGAATAAAAGGGGGGTCCACAATTTTGGAGGATGCCTTATGCAGGTTATCTCTATGTGATGTTCATATGCCATTTGGGTTTGTCCCATCGGACATACACACACGTTCACGCCAGACACAGATGTATATATTTACACATTTTTGGATGTACATTTGTGGATATTTGTAGAGGTTACCATATTATTGTGGAATGTTGATGTAGCTATTCATTATTTTCTGACACATGCTGCTGGAATAAATGAACCTAGTTTTTGGGAGATATTATAAAGTGATCTTACCTGTTAATTGGATTTGTTTGTATATGTTTCCTGGAGAAGGCTCATCTGCTAAATGTTTTTAGCTTTTGTCGTTTATAGTCATTGACAGTTGATTCTGCAATTTAGGCCCCCCACTATTACTGGCTATTCATTGGTTGTTATGTTTTGCTTTCAGCCGGACTGCTTGGATGACTTGGCATATGCAATTATGTACGAGATAAGCAAGTTATGTTATCGAGTCTCAGAGGCGGATGTGACCCGTGCACGTAACCAGGTTGCTGCCAATTCTTATAATTTTTCTCAATGGTGGCTATTTGTGTATCAATAGATGTTACCTTTTTTCCACTTCATAGCACTATTTGCTGTTAATGCACCTTTGAGTGTTCAGCCAGTTTATTGTGACAATATTCCACTTTAATTGAAATCTTAGTTGTTTCAGCGACATCTGAATCATGTATCAAAATCTTATTTTTTCCAAACACGAATTGAATTGAATAAGGAATCATAAAATTCATAATATCATGTATATATCTAAATAACAAAATTATGTCCAAAATGAAGTCTTTTCTTGTACTATAAGATGATTTGAGGGCAGGGACATGAGGGTTGAGTGCTAACCCATCATATGTATTAACATATGTATCTATGTAGGAATGTGTGATTTTCTTTTTTTATGCTTATAGCTGATATCTATTTATTGTTATTCTTAGATGATTCATTGTCTATTTTGAATTCATTTGCGTCAAATTATTATGGCAAATTCCATAGATTCTCTTGGGGTACTTAATTATGCCAATTGTTTTAAAATGCCCTCTCATCTTCAATTTGTCTCAATGTTTACCTTGAAACTCCAAGAGCATACCAATTAATCTCATCTATGATCTATCCATTTCTCTTGTCAGAAAAAATTGAAAATCCACACGTGATTGTCAAGTGAACCGACTCCATTTCTTTCTTCTTCTTATTCTTCTTCCTCCCTGTCTCTTTCTCTCCCTCTCTTTATATATATATATATATCGGTTTCTTTCACAGACATGATAAAACACCCAACCACCACCACCCCAAATGACAGTCGCAACACCACTCACCAAACACTTGCACAATTCTCTTCAATTTTCTGTATATCTTTTTGATTCTCTCTATCCACAGCCTATGGTCACTCATCCATCAATTTCCTTCGGTGCTCTTCCTCTTCTTTTTCTAGAAATTAACTTGGATCTATCTACTTTTATATTAAGAGAGAGGAAGTTGTATGCAAAGAGATTGAAGATTTACTAATCACACAAACTAGACACTCCATTCAGCAATCGAACCAAAATATCAAAACAACTTTTAAGAATCCAAAATTGAGCAAATGAAAAAATGCACTTAACCCAATTCAATCCAATTCCAAATTTTCACCCTATTCAAGTTGAACAACCTATTCAACCAGATTTTAATCTGATGACCCAATTGAGTTCATCACAATGTCATGTGTTTGTATGTTTGTGTTCAAACAGTTGGTTGTGTGTGGCAATTGGAAGGTGCAGCAGTGATTGGTTGGTGGTGTGTTTGACAGAAAACTGGCAAGCAAGAAGGGTCGTGTGTTGGTGAGTAACAGATTGGGTGGTAGTGTGCATGGTTTGTTAGCAGGACACCATCGTGGAAGGAGCTGTGTTGTCTTGTCTTGTCTGTATGTGCATACTTTCTGTGGAGGGAGGAGGGGGGGGGGGAGGAAAGAGAGAGAGTGAGAGCGTGTTTATGAGACTAGCCATGGCACGTGGAGAAGTGGAGAGAAATACATAGAGAGATGGAGAGGTATATACTAAGATAGAGATATAGTGGGAGAAAGTAGTAAGAATAGGAATCCGCAATGATCCTGAATGTCCCTATCAGTCTTACGTGACAGTCACGTGGGACTTTTCAGATTGTTTTAATGAGAGAATTGGACGGAAGGAATTGATTAGTATGTTTTGGAAGTGCAATGTTAAAATCGAGGCAAATTGAACTTGACAGCATATTTTGAAACTAGAGGCATACTCACCTATGTAATTTGCCAAATACTGTTTGCAGAAATATGCCTTCTTGTCTCTGCTTACTAATCTCTGACAAACTAATTCTTGTGTTGGTAGCTAACATAATGCAAATATTGTTGTAGAGAGAAAGTTGAGTTGATAATTGTGCTTGTTGTAAGATTATGGTGGCTTAGTTCTACGCTTTTTTCTCTTGAGCGGATAAAGCTTGTGGCACTGTGAACAAAAAAAATTGCTTGGACATAGGACCAAAACCTAAAAGATAGCCACTAAAATCATGCTTTTGAAGCTAACGTAAGTGTAGTTATGGGTGAACAGAAAAGTCTCAGGAGAGTTTGATGGTGAACTTGTTTCTTGGTTGTCTATTGTACTCAATATCATACCCGCTCTTGTATGTTTTTTATGGGTTATTTTGATAGTTATTGATAGCCATCTTTTATATTGGGTTTAACTCAGCAGCTCCTTTTTTTCCCCATCTTCTGATGCTCATATATCGCATCCACTCCCCAATGTGTTCTATTGCAGTTGAAATCTTCTTTGCTGCTTCACATGGATGGAACTAGTCCTGTTGCTGAAGACATTGGACGTCAGGTACAATTTTGATATCCTAACTTGGACCATCTATTAGGAAGGCAGCATGTCAAGTGGGGCTGCCTTAGTTGCTATGCGTTCTGTTCTTTTGCCAATTTGTTTGGGTATTTCCCCTTCTTTTACTCTCTCTCTCTCTCTCCCCCTCTCTGTGTGCATGTCTTTTCTATTGGGGGAGGAGGTGACATAAATGAACTTTGGGTGAAAATAAACCCACTTAATAGTGGCAGTATAGGTTATGTCCTGGTACCCTTGGCAAGTTGGCATTTAATGCAATGTCTATCAAGATAAGTGGTGACTTCTAAGTTCACTTCCTGCCTTCCTTACCTTCATAAGTGAAAGTTACGTATTCAATTATTGCCTATTGGACGGTGGATTCAGCAGATAAGAGATTTAAGTTCAAATCTGCTGTTTTGGATTGTGCTCTGCCTTAGTCTTCAAGCTCATAATAGTGTGTTCATTATGCAAATTTCGCAGTTGGATGTCAGGGGTCAAACAAGAGTACCTGGTTGAGTGTTACAAGGGATGGGATAATCTATATATAACCTGAAGAGGTTGGCAGGCCCCCCAATTAGCTGATTGTCAAGGGTGTTAGGGATTCTTCTATGGCTAAGGATTGAGAAAAAATAAATCCAATAAATAATGTTAAAGAACAATTTCACTGGATTCATGAAACTAAACTGGAAGTGTTTCATTTGACGGTACTGTAGTATCCCATTCTCAATGAAACTATACAACTCTCTCTCCATATATAGTCTCCTGGAGCATGGGATGCAATAGTATTGTCAAATGAAAACCTTTGGTATAATTTTGAAATGTTAATTTTTGCTGGATAACTTCTGGTACTGAGAGTTTTCTGTTAAATAATTATCTTTTTCATTTGTCCTTTTGTTTATGTGGTTGCAGCTACTTACATATGGACGAAGAGTCCCATTGCCTGAATTGTTTGCCAGGATTGATGCCGTAGATCCGAGCACTGTCAAACGCGTGGCAAACCGTTTTATATTTGACAGGGTATATATACCATCTTCCCCCAACACTAGTTGCTGTCTTGCATCCTATTAGACTGGAGACTGTCGTATTGCCATATTTGATTGTTGAATTGTCTTTGCAGGATGTTGCTATTTCTGCTTTGGNTTCCCCCAACACTAGTTGCTGTCTTGCATCCTATTAGACTGGAGACTGTCGAATTGCCATATTTGATTGTTGAATTGTCTTTGCAGGATGTTGCTATTTCTGCTTTGGGGCCCATCCAGGGTTTGCCAGACTACAACTGGTTCAGGCGCAGGACCTACTGGCTTCGTTACTAGGATTGTTCTCACTAACTTTCATTTTTTTTTATATATTCCTCCATTTTGCTCAAGCAGCCACAATTGTTCCATTTTACACAACCAATTTTCCTGGATAACCTTAAGGAATGGTGGTTTCTAATTTATTTTCCTGGTCCCATCTTTTTGTTTCTGTAACATACAAAAATAATTATACTGTATTCAGTAATTTGGTTGCGGTTCTTAAGATACAGGGGTCCTATTTATCCCTTGAAGATTACTCCTACTATAAAAAATTGATAGTTTTTGTTTTGGAAGCCCTCCTATGGTTCTGTTGTATTAAATATTGATGCAGAAACAGGTTGGGTGGGTATCGCTTGGTGTGATTTTTGCACAGACTAGCCTTGTAAATAAGAGCAAAGCTGTCGGAATCTAATTAGGTACGTAATTCAATTCAGTTATTGGATTCGTTGGGAGATTCAATGTTAGATGAAGTTCATTTAGTGGTGGTTGTATTCCTCATGACCCAGCCAGTATTTCCTCAATCAAGGAAATTTTGGTTTTATAGTTATGTTGGGAATTGGTGTGACTAACGAAGGCTAATAACATTATTTTTTTACTGTGTTTAGTCTAAGGAGGAAAATACGAGCTGTTGAGACTTAAGAGCACAGAAGTCTTGCTTCCTCACCTCACCCAAACTAACTATAGCAGAAATAAGGAAAATTTTCATCAACACCCCCTGTCGATAGGCTTAATTTTAGTGGCATTTTTTCCCCATTTTGAAATTTCACATTTCATTTGACACCCTTTGTCAGTTGGCGGATGTGACGAAAATCTTTTTTTTACCATTTTTGCTTACTCATGCCCACCACCTTCTCCACCATCTGCTCCTCCACAACATCACCAACACTCATCGCACATCACCCCTCTCTCTCTCTCCAGCAAATCTCTTCCTGCAGTAGATCCAGAAAATCCACCCTTTTAACTTAGAGAGAGAGAGAGGAGCAAGAAAGATCAAATTGATTTGGGAGTTTTGTGGTGGGTGTTGATGCAGAGGCTGTGGCGGTGGATTGGTGGTGATGGGCATGTGAGAGGTGTTAGTCAAAGGTGTGTGTGAGTGCATGTTGGGGGGTTGCTATGAGTGGGTTTGTGATAGATTGGGCATAGGTGTGGGGCTGAGTGGAGGCTGAATAGAGTGGGTGTTGGGTGGCGATGAAAGTGACGGTGGGTGTATGTCTGTGTATATGGACGGTGGGTGTATGTCTGTGTAGGCTGAATACTGTGTATTTGTTTCAGGTGGTCTATGGTGGTGTTGTGCAATAGTTAGGTTTCGGTGGAGACGAAGGTGAATTTGAAGTGTTGGGCTTGGGTGGGGTGGTGCATAGTGATGACAGTGGTTGTGCAGGTGTGAGGTGGTGGCTGTGCATAGTGGTAATCAAAATTTCTTTGACTCCAAATTTTGCAGTTTCATTGTAAATCCAAAGTTATAATTTTTGGTAAGTGTTGTTAAGAATTTGAATTTTTGGGATAGAATTGTGATGAATTCAGGATACAACTGTGGTGGTGATGCTTGTGGTCCCAATTTGGGTGCTAGAAAAATTGGAGACAAAGATGAGGATGGTGTGGAGACAAAAAGTATAGAATGGTAGTACAGATATTTTAGGAAAAAGAATTGCATGACATCAACCTTTTTGATTTGACAGTAACAAAGATTCAGGTGTGATTGAAGTAAACATATAAACCAAAAAAAAATATTTTAGAATCGAGAGATGGTATCATTGAAGTTAGGTTTATTTAACGAGGATATGGATAAAATTTTTCCCAAAAATAATCAATAACGTTTATTTATAGTATGAACAACTAACCTTTTGATTTCATATTTTATTTTTTAAAATAATGAGAATGTGATACGTTTAAAATTATTTCATTGNACGTCAAAGGTGTGATTGAAGTGAACATATAAACCAAAAAAATATATTTTAGAATTGAGAGGTGGTGTCATTGAAGTTAGGTTTATTTATCGAGAATATGGATAAAATTTTTCCCATAAATAATTATTAGGGTTTATTTATAGTATGAAAAACTAACCTTTTGATATCATATTTTATTTTTTAAAATAATGAGAATGTGATACGTTTAAAATTATTTCATTGATCAAGGTTTATAAATAAATTAATCAAAAATTTAAAAACTATAAATTAGTTTTTATTTTTTAATATAATACCAAATATTTTGTGGGGTTATTTAGTTACAGTATTAAAATGTGAATTACAAAGGTATAATAGATTAAGACTCTTTAATCCAACTTTACGTTGCATTTGATTGCAAAAAATACTCTGTATAATATATAGTTTTATTTCAAAATTTTATCCAAATAGTAGATTCTATCTGTATTATTGAATTGATTATAATATTATATAGGGTGGTGGTATTACAATCCAATTTTAATTGTATTAAGTTAAAATTTTACTATTTTAGTCAACAGATAAACAAAAACATTAATAACTAGACAAAATTGATGATTTTTTAGTTAATATATAATTGTTACTCTAGTATTTCACTCTTAATTCAGTGTCTTACCAAACACTGGATCACAATGCATAATATTTTTATTTTATATTTAATCTTATATTTTTTTTGTTTATACAAAATTAGTCCGTANACTGATTATAATATTATATAGGGAGGTGGTATTACAACCAATTTAAGTGTATTAAGTTAAAATTTTACTATTTTAGTCAACAGATAAACAAAAACATTAATAATTAGACAAAATTGATGATTTTTTAGTTAATATATAATTGTTACTCTAGTATTTCACTCTTAATTCAGTGTCTTACCAAACACTGGATCACAATGCATAATATTTTTATTTTATATTTAATCTTATATTTTTTTTGTTTATACAAAATTAGTCCGTATTAACTAATATAATTTATTTTTTTACAATACGATAACCAAACGAGTCGTCTGTGTCCCTCAACCTTCCATACCAAGCGAAGGTCTCATGCATCCAAATCTGCAAATTAGTTGGAAAATGCCTCTGTGAAGACTTGTGACTTGTGCTAATGAGAAAGGTGGAATTTTTTTTTAAATTTTAATTATAGCTCAACTGTCCCAATAAATTCATTAGTTTATTATCCGACCTTCAACAAAGTCGGCAGTCATCGCTCCACATAAAAGGATAAATCTAATGATAGTGACCTCAAAAAATGTACACACCCGTGGGATATTTGAACTTGACCTATACCTCGACAAAACTAATTACTAAGATGGTGTTTGATAAACAAATGCAACAATGATACATGCATAGGCCAGTGGTGTTACAGAAGGCATTGACAACATTAAGGAGAAGGAAGGTTTCATCTGCTCCAAGCCCCTAAAGAAATAAAAGAGCGACGGCCCTAAAAAAAAATGGAAAGAGTAAGTTTCTTCCTCAAATTGGATTAAATGATAACAGAATGCATAAGTTATTAAAAAGAGTTCCAGTAAACGGATAAATATAGTGTACTATTTTACTTATTTCCTCAACGAGGGATAAAGAAAATGGAAGAACGGGCGGATATAAAAAACAGAGCAATAATTGGAGAAGGTGGTGGTGATATGTGTAGGGCAGTGACGGTGATTATGAAATGTAAGTGATGGTGATCGTAAAAATAAAATAGTTACGACAAAATGATAAGGAAGAACAACAAAATTAAAAAAATAATAATTTTTAAATTTCAGCTCCTTGTACTTGTCAAATAATTTAGTTTAATTCAATACTTAAATTTTATTAATATCAAATAATTTATAAATTAAAAAATTCAACTTCCAAATTTTATATTGTATTTTCAATTTTATTAAGGGTTTTTTGCGCTTTTCATCTTAAAAGATTTCAAATTTTTTATTTGTACCCTTAAAGATTAAATTTATGTTAATAACCGTTAGATGAGTCTATTTGAGACCGTTAGATAGACTTATTAAAACCTGTTATGTTTTATATTATAGATATTACAATGTGACACTTTTGTTATTTTNTGCGCTAAAATGATAAGAAAGAACGACAAAATTAAAACAATAATAATTTTTAAATTTCAACTCCTTGTACTTGTCAAATAATTTAGTTTAATTCAATACTTAAATTTTATTAATATCAAATAATTTATAAATTAAAAAATTCAACTTCCAAATTTTATATTGTATTTTCAATTTTATTAAGGGTTTTTTGCGCTTTTCATCTTAAAAGATTTCAAATTTTTTATTTGTACCCTTAAAGATTAAATTTATGTTAATAACCGTTGGATGAGTCTATTTGAGACCGTTAGATAGACTTACTAAAACCTGTTATGTTTTATATTATAGATATTACAATGTGACACTTTTGTTATTTTCGTTAAAATTCAACACTTTGACACTAATAAGAAAATTAATAAAAAACTAACAAAAGTATCATAGTACAATACTTTTGATATATTAAGAGTAAAATATAATAAATTTAACCATTAAAAATACAAAATAAAAATTTTAAAATCTTTTATAGTATAAAATACAATTTACCCTTTTATCAAAGAACTAAGCTAAGCTAATCCCATAGGCTAAAGTGGAAAGTATTATCGAAGCCATTGAAGTACAATTGTCATAACTAGTAACTCCCGAGCATAATTATAAGAGTTTTTTCACTATAAAATGTTTAATTTGAATCATAATTATTAATTTAAAAAAATAATTTATAACCACAACATTATCAAAAAAATCAATGAATCATGTTGCTCTCACTAGACTATTAGCTTGGTTCATAGTTTGGTTTTAATTAAATTTAATTGATGACAAATAATTTATAAATTAAAAAAAAAATCAAACTTCCAATTTTCATATTTCATTTTTCAATTTTATAGGTTAAAATAGGAAGTATTACAATTGTCAATGACAGGCCCAACTGCCTTTGCACTTCCATTAACACGCGCCCAATTTTCTTCGATCTCATCGCCATCTGCCAACACACCGTCAAAGCCCCCTCCCCCCCCCGGTTTCTTTCCTCTCTCCCCTACATAACGCGCCCATTTCCTTCTCCAACCTGCAACTACATTGCTCCATAGACGATATAGTTGTTCGTGTGACTGCTTTGGGGATAGCCTCGATGGCTTCATTCTCGGTGCCGTGCCCTAAGTTGTCTTCATCGCTTCAATGTACTTGTAGTGGNCGCTTTTCATCTTAAAAGATTTCAAATTTTTTATTTGTACCCTTAAAGATTAAATTTATGTTAATAACCGTTGGATGAGTCTATTTGAGACCGTTAGATAGACTTACTAAAACCTGTTATGTTTTATATTATAGATATTACAATGTGACACTTTTGTTATTTTCGTTAAAATTCAACACTTTGACACTGATAAGAAAATTAATAAAAAACTAACAGAAGTATCATACTACGATACTTTTGATATATTAAGAGTAAAATATAAAAAATTTAACCATTAAAAATACAAAATAAAAATTTTAAAATCTTTTATAGTATAAAATACAATTTACCCTTTTATCAAAGAACTAAGCTAAGCTAATCCCATAGGCTAAAGTGGAAAGTATTATCGAAGCCATTGAAGTACAATTGTCATAACTAGTAACTCCCGAGCATAATTATAAGAGTTTTTTCACTATAAAATGTTTAATTTGAATCATAATTATTAATTTAAAAAAATAATTTATAACCACAACATTATCAAAAATCAACAATGAATCATGTTGCTCTCACTAGACTATTAGCTTGGTTCATAGTTTGGTTTTAATTAAATAATTAAATTTAATTGATGACAAATAATTTATAAATTAAAAAAAAAAATCAAACTTCCAATTTTCATATTTCATTTTTCAATTTTATAGGTTAAAATAGGAAGTATTATTGGAGGCTTCGAAAGTACAATTGTCAATAACAGGCCCAACTGCCTTTGCACTTCCATTAACACGCGCCCAATTTTCTTCGATCTCATCGCCATCTGCCAACACACCGTCAAAGCCCCCCCCGGTTTCTTTCCTCTCTCCCCTACATAACGCGCCCATTTCCTTCTCCAACCTGCAACTACATTGCTCCATAGACGATATAGTTGTTCGTGTGACTGCTTTGGGGATAGCCTCGATGGCTTCATTCTCGGTGCCGTGCCCTAAGTTGTCTTCATCGCTTCAATGTACTTGTAGTGGATTGGTGCGGAGTGCACAGCAACACCACTTCAACGAGATCTCCTTTCGTCTCGGTCCGAATTCGAGGCATTCTTCGTTGATATATGGGTGTTCAATACATCGCCCACCGACGTATTCCCAGTTTCAGGTTAGGTTTTTTAAATTTAATTCGTATATGTTGGATAACATGTTCTGTGATCCATTATATACGTATGTGTGTGTGTGTGTGTATACACACAAATATATAATATAACACAGACGTTTTTTTCATGCGGATGCTTAGTTGGGTAATGCATTGATACCGNTGTATATATACACACAAATATATAATATAACACAGACGTTTTTTTCATGCGGATGCTTAGTTGGGTAATGCATTGATACCGCTTAGATGTGACAGTTCCTCAAGCTNTTACCACAACATTATCAAAAAAATCAATGAATCATGTTGCTCTCACTAGACTATTAGCTTGGTTCATAGTTTGGTTTTAATTAAATTTAATTGATGACAAATAATTTATAAATTAAAAAAAAAATCAAACTTCCAATTTTCATATTTCATTTTTCAATTTTATAGGTTAAAATAGGAAGTATTACAATTGTCAATGACAGGCCCAACTGCCTTTGCACTTCCATTAACACGCGCCCAATTTTCTTCGATCTCATCGCCATCTGCCAACACACCGTCAAAGCCCCCTCCCCCCCCCGGTTTCTTTCCTCTCTCCCCTACATAACGCGCCCATTTCCTTCTCCAACCTGCAACTACATTGCTCCATAGACGATATAGTTGTTCGTGTGACTGCTTTGGGGATAGCCTCGATGGCTTCATTCTCGGTGCCGTGCCCTAAGTTGTCTTCATCGCTTCAATGTACTTGTAGTGGATTGGTGCGGAGTGCACAGCAACACCACTTCAACGAGATCTCCTTTCGTCTCGGTCCGAATTCGAGGCATTCTTCGTTGATATATGGGTGTTCAATACATCGCCCACCGACGTATTCCCAGTTTCAGGTTAGGTTTTTTAAATTTAATTCGTATATGTTGGATAACATGTTCTGTGATCCATTATATACGTATGTGTGTGTGTGTGTGTATACACACAAATATATAATATAACACAGACGTTTTTTTCATGCGGATGCTTAGTTGGGTAATGCATTGATACCGCTTAGATGTGACAGTTCCTCAAGCTTAATGCATTTTCAATGTAGATTTATTGTGTTGAGCTTTTAGACGACCCCTTTTTAACACAAATATGTCTGGATGTTTGGGACTAACGCAGTTATGAATCTTAGAAAGGTTATGAGTTAAAGGATCTTGGGATTAGGGAGTACTAATGGGTTGGGTGGAATTCGTATCACGTATAAGTCATGTTTAGCAGGATCTATGCCGCGTAGATTCAATAAATGGATGAATCCAACTGATTCATCCGTTTACCATGTGAACCTAACCAACCCCGCAAAATTATACCTGGGTTCAGTGTCTAGAATTGCAAATTATACTTGGATGATACCTTTTGCTCCTGTGAACTGGAATGATAATTCAAGTTTGGTGGGTTCCAACGCCAATTGGGTTATGGAATTTAGTCACTTGCAAGCACAATTCTACATACGAATTCAAAATTATTTCAGTATGAAACCTGGCTTGAATATGGCTGTAACTGATGGTGTATTAATCCTATCTTTGAAATGTTTTGTGTTGATTTGTATCCAAAAGTGTTTGACTTCATTTTTTAATTGTAGAAAAAGAGGAAATTCGTTTTTGAATTTGCCACCATAGGCCTTGTGTTGTTGACCAAATTGACATTTTTTTTATTGTGGATTCGTAAGTGTTGATTGAACCATACCATATGAGGGATTCTTGTTGCTCTCGGTTGGCAGTGTTGTTTACATTTTAATGCAATCGTATTGTGCATGAAATCTGAGTGTGAAATAGCATTCAATTAAACCACCATTGTTAGGAAATCTGACAGCAGTAAAGGGAATGCGTTGCCTAAGACGACTGTAAAGAAGTCACTAGATAAGCAATGCTTAATNTTGGGTAATGCATTGATACCGCTTAGATGTGACAGTTCCTCAAGCTTAATGCATTTTCAATGTAGATTTATTGTGTTGAGCTTTTAGACGACCCCTTTTTAACACAAATATGTCTGGATGTTTGGGACTAACGCAGTTATGAATCTTAGAAAGGTTATGAGTTAAAGGATCTTGGGATTAGGGAGTACTAATGGGTTGGGTGGAATTCGTATCACGTATAAGTCATGTTTAGCAGGATCTATGCCGCGTAGATTCAATAAATGGATGAATCCAACTGATTCATCCGTTTACCATGTGAACCTAACCAACCCCGCAAAATTATACCTGGGTTCAGTGTCTAGAATTGCAAATTATACTTGGATGATACCTTTTGCTCCTGTGAACTGGAATGATAATTCAAGTTTGGTGGGTTCCAACGCCAATTGGGTTATGGAATTTAGTCACTTGCAAGCACAATTCTACATACGAATTCAAAATTATTTCAGTATGAAACCTGGCTTGAATATGGCTGTAACTGATGGTGTATTAATCCTATCTTTGAAATGTTTTGTGTTGATTTGTATCCAAAAGTGTTTGACTTCATTTTTTAATTGTAGAAAAAGAGGAAATTCGTTTTTGAATTTGCCACCATAGGCCTTGTGTTGTTGACCAAATTGACATTTTTTTTATTGTGGATTCGTAAGTGTTGATTGAACCATACCATATGAGGGATTCTTGTTGCTCTCGGTTGGCAGTGTTGTTTACATTTTAATGCAATCGTATTGTGCATGAAATCTGAGTGTGAAATAGCATTCAATTAAACCACCATTGTTAGGAAATCTGACAGCAGTAAAGGGAATGCGTTGCCTAAGACGACTGTAAAGAAGTCACTAGATAAGCAATGCTTAATGCTTATTGAGAGCCCATGTCAATGAGTATAGAGTTCTTCATTCTGTAAAAGTTCAATTCCCATAGTACTCAACCTTTGCTTGCCAAAAGCTATTTGTTTTGGCCATTAACATCAAAAGTAACCACAAACCACTTGATTATGGTATGGGAAAATTGTACTGTATAATTTTGGCTCTGTATCACTCAGTGACTCAGCTATATGATTGTCTTTTGCAGCCACATGACAGCAAGCAAGCTGCTTGCTGGAGATTGCAAGCACTGGTAAATGAGGTAGGCTCTTCACTTATATTTCTAGAAATTCAGTTGAAATGAAAACCTTAACCCTCCATTGAACTTTTTTTCTAAATTCAAGGTTGCTGTTGAAAAACCATCAAATTCTACTGTGGTACCTGAGACCAAGTCAGGAGCTGATTTATCTGATGTAAAGGATGAGACCCCAGAAAAAGTTTCTGTTCAGAACCCAATTCCAGATGCATCATTGTTTTCAGCATTCTTGAGCAAAGTATCAGACCTTGTCAAGTAAGTGGAAGCCACTCTTTTTTCCCCTGCAAACTCAATTCTCTTTCTGTGTATACTCGGTTTTTTAGCTAGTATGCATATTTATGCAGATTCGTGGATTCCAAAGATATCATGGAGTTGCAGCTGAAGCAACTTGATTGCGAGCTTACTATAAGAAAGAAGGAAGCTGTGCAGCCGCCGCCACCAGCAGCTCCTGTTTTTGCAATGCAATACCCTCTGCCCCAGTCTGTACATCAATCTCCACCACCACCAGCCCAAGTCCTCCCTCCTGTCTCTGCAGGTTCCTCTCCTTCAGCTGCAGCACCTGTCTTGGCTATCCCGGCAAAGACAAACAACTCATCTCATCCAACATTGAAATGCCCCATGGCCGGTACATTTTATCGGTGTCCTGCACCTGGTGAACCGCAATTTGTGAAGGTAAATTTTTTCGTTTTTGGGTTTAGTTAAGCGTTATCATATTGTATCTAAAGCTTATACAAGCTCTGATTTCCCTTACAAGTTGGTTTATTCCCAATTCACTTATAATTTTGTAGGTAGGCGATAAAGTGACCAAAGGTCAGGTCCTCTGCATCATTGAAGCCATGAAACTGATGAATGAAATTGAGGTAATTCTNCATACAAGTTGGTTTATTCCCAATTCACTTATAATTTTGTAGGTAGGCGATAAAGTGGCCAAAGGCCAGGTCCTCTGCATCATTGAAGCCATGAAACTGATGAATGAAATTGAGGTAATTCTGATCAAAAGACTTCCCCCCCCCCCCAACCTTCCTTTTCTCTTGTTAATTTTTCGAACCAACTTAAGTTCTTTGCATAAATGATGGTATTTTGTGATAGAAAGAGCTGTGTTTTTTTTTTTTTTTTGATATGTTCATACTTTAACGGTGGAAATTGTTGCAAACTGAAAGGAGACAAGTATCATGTTGATTGTACGGATAAACCTTTAGTGTAAGAAGTCGTTTATGAAATTTATTTACTCACCATATTCGACTGGCCTTAATATTGTAATATTTTCTTAGTAATAACCCTCCCACCACCTTTGAAAAAGAAGATGTAAATGAAAGAGAACAGAGGATAGGATTGGATTGTATCGGGTTGGAATGAAGAATCTAGTGCTTCGTTTTTTCATGTGTCAGGCTGATCAGTCAGGAACCATCTCCGAGGTACTAGTAGAGGATGGAAAACCAGTTAGCTTGGACACGGTACTCTCTCTCTCTCTCTCTCTCTCTCTCACGCACATGCAAGTGTGTAGTAGCATGCAGTGATGAATGATTTAAAATAAAGCATTTTNACGGTACTCTCTATCTCTCTCTCTCTCTCACGCACATGCAAGTGTGTAGTAGCATGCAGTGATGAATGATTTAAAATAAAGCATTTTTCGGATTTATAACTGCTGCTTATTGCTGATCTGAAGTGGACATTTTCCTTCATGCAGCCTCTGTTTGTTATTGCTCCGTGAAACGCTGCGGAGGACTTAATGTAACGTAGCTGAAGCGGCTGTTCTTCAAAGTTCTTGAGCTTATTTATCTCCAAATTTCTCTTTTATTTAGTCAAGTTGTATCGCGTTCGTTTACTCTAGCAAAGCCTCTTGTTTGTTACAAAGTTTTGGGTTTTTTTTTTTTGAATGGGGTTACCAAATTTGGTTACTCGACCATAATGGAACTATTTTAAGAAAAAAAAATTGTCAAAAAAAACAAGTTAAAGTATGGTTTATTGCTATTTTGTAAAAGTAGTTTCCATGCATCGTTTTTCCCCCCTTTTTTTTTTGTTTTTAACAATTTATATAATAAAACACATAATAATTTAAATTTTTATCTCTTACATATTTTTTTTCTTGAAAACATTAAATTATTCATTTCTATCACATATTAAATCACGTAACATTTAATTAATTTATAATTTAACATAATTTATATTTCAAATATTATTCATATACAATAATATATACATATTGAAAAAAAATTAATTCAATGAGATTAATTTTTTAGGCATTCGAATTTTATATTTTATTATACCTTCAAACACGAGTTATAATTAATACATGAATATTACATTTATATATGTGCATGTACACATATATACAATAATATATGCAATTAAAAGTCGGGAGGAATTAAGCAAACTAGCACAAGAAAATAGTAATGAACCACATTGANGATTTAAAATAAAGCATTTTTCGGATTTATAACTGCTGCTTATTGCTGATCTGAAGTGGACATTTTCCTTCATGCAGCCTCTGTTTGTTATTGCTCCGTGAAACGCTGCGGAGGACTTAATGTAACGTAGCTGAAGCGGCTGTTCTTCAAAGTTCTTGAGCTTATTTATCTCCAAATTTCTCTTTTATTTAGTCAAGTTGTATCGCGTTCGTTTACTCTAGCAAAGCCTCTTGTTTGTTACAAAGTTTTGGGTTTTTTTTTTTTGAATGGGGTTACCAAATTTGGTTACTCGACCATAATGGAACTATTTTAAGAAAAAAAAATTGTCAAAAAAAACAAGTTAAAGTATGGTTTATTGCTATTTTGTAAAAGTAGTTTCCATGCATCGTTTTTCCCCCCTTTTTTTTTTGTTTTTAACAATTTATATAATAAAACACATAATAATTTAAATTTTTATCTCTTACATATTTTTTTTCTTGAAAACATTAAATTATTCATTTCTATCACATATTAAATCACGTAACATTTAATTAATTTATAATTTAACATAATTTATATTTCAAATATTATTCATATACAATAATATATACATATTGAAAAAAAATTAATTCAATGAGATTAATTTTTTAGGCATTTGAATTTTATATTTTATTGTACCTTCAAACACGGGTTATAATTAATACACGAATATTACATTTATATATGTGCATGTACATATATATACAATAATATATGCAATTAAAGTCGGGAGGAATTAAGCAAACTAGCACAAGAAAATAGTAATGAACCACATTGATTCAACTGGAAATACAAAATTTAATAAATGATTTAGTAAAAGCATAAGATTAGTCGAGAATCTATCTCATCCCAAGACCACTTGGGATTTCAATGGAGCAATGATCTTAGCCAAGGGAAAATATTAAAAAGGAACAGAACGAGACACAGACATGCCAAGGAAAGAAGAGGTTTGTTCCATTCTCTAAAAACTCTTTTGGTGAAAACTATGGAATCATTTCATCAATTTATCAGAATGTACATACACTCCCTATACGAAATAAAGGGATACAAACCCCACCCCCCCCACACCAAAAATTTCTCCCCGTCAATCCTCAACTCTGAATGAAAGCCTAATGTGAAGCTTTCAGATAGTTCAAAGCCTAACCTGAAGGCTGCATCACATGCCATCTGGGCGAGGCATCTACAATGGTTGTAAATCATGCCAAAAATCAGAGCACTATGAATATTAAGCCAAGCAAGTTACGAGATGAAAACAACTTCAGAATCTTTGGGACCCGGCCATTGATGTTCGCCCTCATTCTACTTTTCCACCGTTCTTGTTCTTGCTGCTTCTATGTCGTTATCTTCTCTCCTACAAACTGTACATGTTAGCTTTACCTGTAAGTATTTACAATTCTAAACGCTGCCTACTTCTACTGCCTTTCCTGCCACCGTTATTTAGCCTCCGTACGCCACTTCCCCAATCTTCATCATCATCATCTTCACCGTCGCCACCCATAAAATGGCTGGACTTCCCACCCTTTCTTGGAGGAGGGCGTTTCCTTTTGATATTTGCTGTGTAGGTTGAATAATCAACCGTGTCTTCCTTCAAGGCATTCTTGAATTCCTGAGAAGTATGAAGAGAGACTGATAAAGTAAACTGGTAAACAACTCCCAGTAGCATGGCAACATCAATATATTATTAATCAGAAACAACCAATTGGACCAACAGAAGGATCATGTCAAAACAAAACTGTAACTAACAAAATCACTGAAAAACATAGAAGTCTGATTTGATTCACCGGGGCAGGCTAAGCAGGTTTCAATTTTGATTAGAGGTGACAGAGAAACCAACAAACTATAGTTTAACAAGCAAGCTCAAAAGAGAAAACCCCCACAGCCTACAGCTGCCTCTTTAACTTAAGATCACGTATAGGAATCTTGTAATAAAGCATGCAATATAGGTCCATAACTATTTAGTTGGAACCGCCAGTTTACCATGCAGGTAAAGCTTTTCAATCAATACGACTTGGTTAGCAGAAGACCCGACTGGCCAGAAAAGGCAAGGATATACTATCAATACATGTCCATCAGTCAAACAAGCAAAGATACTTTGATATGTAGATACTCAATAAACCACCAAAAAAGAACAAACATCCCAGCTAATAAAGGAGTCTTCTTGTTTACCATCACAGTTTTGCCATTAAGCATGATGAGCAAAAATAAAACTATTAAACTATTGTCAGGACTCAAACACGTGTGCATGACGGATCAACCAAATCATTGATCACCATAATGGTGCTGTTATACCTGATATCTTTGTAACAAGCCTTGATAAGTAGTAGGCAGATCAATGTGTACTTCACCAACGTCGAAAGGAATGTTCAGTCTCGAAAAAACCTCTCCTGGTTTTGGAGGTTCATTTGGAGTAAAAACCTAGTCGAAGAATCAATACTACATAAAGTTAGAATCAGAGATGCCACTAAGAAAACATCAATTCAATTAATGATACAAAACAATAGAAGCAGCCAATTCAAGGAAGTATCACCTGGCAACGGGCATCATTTAGACTATACACAATTTTTAGATGCCTCTTTAGCTTTAGGAGGAGTTGTAATGCACCAGCTGCCAGACAATCGACCTGTATAAGTACCACAAAATTCAACACATTAAGGCCTAAGATGTCTAAAAGATGGCATTCATCCGGCTCGTTATTAAGTTCCAATCCTTGCACAATTTCTAATGGAGCCAAGATGCACACAATAGGAANGCCAAGAAGCAAAAGGGGCATGCATTAGCATTCATCCGGCTCGTTATTAAGTTCCAATCCTTGCACAATTTCTAATGGAGCCAAGATGCACACAATAGGAAATAAAAGAAGACAACTAGACAACATTTCAAGATAAACATGTTAAGCTTAACAAATTAACCAACATATGGGAAATGTAACAGATGAAAGATCTTTGGTCATTCCAATGTCATGTAACAGAGCATGTCTGAAATCAACTATCTTAGGACAAACACAGAATGTAAACCTGGATTTTCTGCAGATCATCTCCAGAGATGCAACAAGAATTGCCTGAGGTTGTAGCATGTAAATTTGAGTCCTCATACTCGTTATGATTAGAAATATAATGACCAGCTAACTCTTCCTGAACTGTCTCATTCACATCAACTGATAAAGCATGATTATAATTGTGTAGAGAAGATGGCTCTGGTTTCATTGTCCCATTTCCATTAGGTATCTTTTGATCATTTCCTTGTAAAAAATGCAGAAAGACCTTCATATTTGCCTCTAGCGTTCCAGCTCTAACTTGCATAATCCGATTTATAGCATAGATCAAATAAAGAGGCTCATCAGGCAATGTGAAAGGGAGTAAAGCGAGGATTTCTGCACAATACCTGAGGAAAAAAGAGTGGTAAAGGGGGGTCAACTTCTCAGTCAAACACCAAATTGAAGCTATTGGAGAACAGGCAACAGTAACAGAACTCACTTCAGAAAAGGGATTACTGAGTCATTCCAGCTTGGAGTATCAAACTTCCGCACAACAGAAGCCATAAACTTGTTCCTTGAAACACGATTTCCACGGATGAGCTTGTAAATTCGAGAAACACCAAACCTTGCATAAGAAAAAGAACCACTATCTGATTTCCCCTTCAAAGCACCAGTTAACTTGGACTGGGCTTTATGGAATAAATTGCCAGGAGAACTTTCACTTATACACTGTATGAAGATAAATGACATCTGAAGGCCATCTCCCAGCCGGCTCTCAAAAAAAGCAGGATACCTGAAGAAATGCTTTCACTAGTTGGCATAAGAAAATAAAGAAGGTAGCAAAAATTTTAAAGCATACATAGAGGAGATACTTCTCGTTCATATTCAACAGCAAATGATGAGCCAGCTTCGAATTCCCCTCCTCAGGATCTGTTTCAAGTGCTATAAGGTATGGAACACAAGTAATTGGATGGACTAAACCTTGGCGCAGCACAACTTCCACAATCTGTGTTCATTAATACAGCAACATATATAAGACTTAAAAGGCAATAATGATTATACAACACAGAGAAACACCATTGAGAATTCAGATGTCCCTTGGCAAGGAGTTATGAGATATCAGGGCCTTTCTGGGCAGTGTTTCCATCCTCAGGCCGGATTGGACGGTGGGACTGCTGTAAGCTTCAACAGCTCCAGCACCTGGAGTTAGAGGCCTGGCTGTTGAAGCCACCCAAAGGCCATAAAATGCCAGTGAAGATTCAATAGGCTGTTTTCCTCACCATGCCTAAGTAAGAAGTTATATCATGCACTTGCCTATATGATTTGCCTACTAGTTACGGCAGACAACAATTCCAACTACTGACAGCTCAACACAAAAAGGATAAGCACACAGGAATAGGTTGTCACCTTGAGAGCAGACTGGCGCACTTGTTCATTCACATCCAAACACCTCCCTAAAATTCTATCCCAATACAACTGAACTATTCCGCCGCAGATGTTAGTATCACCTGCACCTGCAGCAACAGGTACATTGTGGCCCCCATCTATTATATCTGCATTACTGGCTTTATCACTTCCCATTTGACTTTCAGCATCAAGAAGATAATCATACATGTTTTGCAATGCTTGCATCTGGCACAAAAAAGTGTTATTATGAAAATAATGTAGGCATAAACATGACCCTCCAGAGTCCAGACCCTGCAATGGCAGAAGGCTTGTGCACTAGGACACCATTTTTAGGCATGAAACAAGAAGGGATTTTATTACCTTAAGACGAGCATCAGTATTTGATGACAGTGTAGCCTCCAATATTCTTCCCACATCCTTTTCCAACATATATTCAGGCCGAGCAATCAAAACATAGCCCAATGCCTGGAGAAATCACAAAACTAAATGTGTGGCCATTACATTTCCACTAATCCAACTTCTACTGAGAAGAGCAAAAAGGGGCATACCTGCAAAGACCTGACCTTTATAACAAAGTCCTCAGCCTGGAGATACTTCTTAAACAGGTTGAGGCTGCTTACAACATCTATATTTCTGTTGCTGGAGCAGGACATACTCAGCAAAGAGTTACCATAACGTATTAGCAACCCAAGACAGAAAAGAGAGCGGCCCACTAGCTGAAATTTACAGAATCAAAACATCATCTAAAATTATCTCCTAGACATTTTAGTTGGAGTACAGCTATTCATGAGAACTAGCGACATGAAAATATTGATACCATCATTTAGTATCATACATAAAAAGCAGCTTGGAAGTAGCCATGAAACAATTCTTGCAGATTTAGCCACGATATAGCAAACATGAAGTCAGAGCACATGCACTCGGAATAAAAAAACAAGAGCAGCTAGTTATCGCAAATCAAAACATTTCTTGAAGTAATCACAACCTGCTTATTTTCAAAACCGAGGGCATCCAAACGTTTGGAAAATAACTGGATAAGATACTCAACTACAGCTGAACCTTTTCCCGCTAATTTACACACTGAGCAAAGGCACCTGTAAATGCAACATATAAACCACCTTTAGGCAAAAAATATAAAAGGTACACAAATTACATTGTTTCTTTACAAGCAATAATGACATCATGATTTGAATGGAAAGTCAGTTACACAAAATATCCTAGTCTTGAACAAACAATGAATGCCTAATCTCAACTAACAAAAAGTCAACTACATAAACCCTCCATCACTCTACTGCATCTTAAGCTATACCAACATTAATAGATATAATATGAATTAGATCCTACAAACTTACAGATAGAGCCTTTATAAATTGATAGAAAAATTTACCTTAAAAGTCATTTGGAAGTATAAAAGGTGCAATATGCAATAAAATAGAATTAAAAATTGGTTACTAAAATAAATCATAAAGGAGCCGAGATAGTATCCATATTGCATGCCTTGTAGTATCATGTATTCCAACCCTCTAAAAGTTTATCAACTCAAACCAAAAACCATCTCAACAAAAAAAATAAATAAATAAGGAAAACTGAAAAAAAAAAAAGGAATAAAAAGGAGGAGAGAGTCAAAGTCATACGAAGATGACCATAGGAAAAACACCCCCATATATTTTCCTTATTTAGAACCAATAAGAACACTATTATTACAATGCTAGGAAAATTAGAAAAAAAAAATTGATCTGTTATTCACCNAAGGAGGAGAGAGTCAAAGTCATACGAAGATGACCATAGGAAAAACACCCCATATATTTTCCTTATTTAGAACTAATAAGAACACTATTATTACAATGCTAGGAAAATTAGAAAAAAAAAATTGATCTGTTATTCACCACTTTGAAATGAGTGAAGATGTATAAGAAACTAAGAGCAGATGTATAACATTCTCGATAACTAACAAGTAACAAAGCAACAGTTGGGAAGTATAGTACCTGATGCAAGCATGTACCACTGTCAAGAAAGAATGTCGAACAATCATTTGCTTTAGATCTTGTTCTAGTTCTTCAATTACACTTTGAGGAAGCTTCCGAAGCATAGGCAAAACAGAATCAATCACAAAGATTATACTCTCCAGTAGCTGTGCGACTACCCGATTGTTGGCCTGAATATAAGTCAAACAGATTAAACTGCAATACAAACTTATACCTACAATCCTGCATTCTGTTATTTACTTAATTCTCTTAACCATAAAACACGGAGGAGGGGGGATAGGAGGAAGGTGTGGCAAAGAAATAAGTACAACAATGTAACAATAACACAACTGGAACATAAACAGATATCAAAATATATGTAAACAGTATTTGTGCTCTATATAATAAAACAAATTCATGAAAACAAGTACAACACCATGTGACTATGACATACTTCTCCAGTCGGCATTGCTTAAGAAGAGGAAGAGGAGATGAAAAGTAGAAAGTGGAACAATACTGTGTGTTCCCACAACAAAATAAAGGCAGATTACCTGAGTCTTTAAATAGGGCTGTAGCGTGACTACAAACTGGGAAGGATCAGAAACCGGTGCACAGAGTGTAGGATCCACAACACAGAAAGCATGCAAGAGCAGGACATAAGGAAGTGTGTGACCCTCCACTTCTTCATTGTTCATTTCCTCCGCCTTCAAACATATAGTTTATCATCCTCACAATATGCAAAAAACCAAAGCAATGAAACACTAAGCACAGCTACAGACAAGATTACCTGCAATATCCTCTCCAACAAGCACTTGCACATTAACTCACAGCGCTTACGTACCGAAGCAAGTGACACAGGGTTGATCCCAGCAGCTTTCATTGATTGGGGAAAAAAATCAAGGGCTAAGTTGCGCTTAATGACGGTTATAAGGGGTTGATAACTAGGCATCCTTCGCAACATCTCAACAATCTGCTCAGTCTTCTTAGCCACCTCCAAGGGAACAGAACTACCATCTCCAAAAAGACGAGTGTGTGAGCCAGAAGGTTCCTCAAACCAGAACTCATAAAAAGTTTTGCAGACTAGATCCTGTAAGAGGGAGAAGAAAAATGACATGTGAGAAGCGGGCTTCAGAGGGACAAACTTTATGCATACTAATTAAAATAGATCAAGGGGAAATACTATTCTTTGATATTCTAATACATGCTACATCTTAGAATTTTGCATGAATCATCTAATAGAATTAACCAAGAACCACCTTCAAACTGGAATACAGTACATCATGTTACCTAGGAACCTTTAGATCTAGTAGAAACACAGAGATAAAAAAGACATGTACATGATTTGATCAATATATCTGAGATGTAAAAAGGAAAAATGTGTGAAAAATTCTAAGTGTACAATTACAGCAAGGGTTAGCCTCAAGTCCTGACCTATTTCACCTAGTCAAGCATGAATTGAGCGTCCTAATCATGGATGAATTGATTAGACATATTCATGATAATATTCCACAGTGTATGGTGTTTGCTGATGAAGAGTGGACAGTTTTGCTACCTAGGCTCAATTATTAATATGGAATTCGTATCAAAAAGGTGGTTAACAAAGAACAAAATTGGCGATTAGGTAACTTGTATGATCNACGAGTGGACAGTTTTGCTACCTAGGCTCAATTATTAATATGGAATTCCTATCAAAAAGGTGGTTAACAAAGAACAAAATTGGCGATTAGGTAACTTGTATGATCTAAGTAGGTTGGCTCAAGTGGAGAAATGGCTCTAGCCCAAAATGTGATTGACATATACCTGGAAACTGAAAGAAAAATTGTAGTATACAGCCAGCAATACTTCACAAAACAAAATTTATGGTAAATGAAAAACAACCCATTAACAAAATGAGTGTATTTGAAATAAGAATGCTAAAATAGGTGTGTGATCGGAACAGGAAAAAAAAAATACGTGTGGGACTGTAGGAATAACACCCATTGAAAATAAATTCAGAGAAAGTATATTAAGATCGTTTGGGCATGTACAACGAAGACCAATGGAAGCACCTATAAGAAAGAGTGACATGATCCCAGTTATTTGAAATGCTATAGGTTACAAAAGTCCAAAAATGCCATAGAATGATGTAGTTGAAGAAAATATGTGTGCGTAATTTAACTAAACATATAGCCCTAGATAGAGTAGAATGCCGAAAAGGCATTCATATGGCTAGCCCCAAATAACTGGGATAAAGACTTTGCTTTTTAAAAAAAAGATCCACAACAGAATCCCTCCAAAACATTCTTGAGGCCAAAGTAGAAATTCAGCACAATACATGCAACTAAGAAAAAAGTATGATCAAAACCAAAAAAGTAACATTGTGAATTCATTTAATTCCTTCTGAACTACCTGAATACTGGATTCTTCATCATTCACACGAGAAATGATCTCAACACAAGCACTTGTAAACTCTGTGAAGGTAGTGTTTGAAATACACATATCTCTTATGATTTTGATGGCTCGCTTTCGGACACTAACTCCAGTATCCTTCATTCTCTCAGCAACCTTTTCGAAATACTACAAAAACACCCATAAGTTAAAGGGGAAAGCCAATACAATTACAATGAGATCAATAGTAAATACAGGGGTAAGCATGATCAAGTTGTGGTACCTTCAAACCAACACCAGGATGTGATGCAATATGCCGCCCAACAAGTTCCAGCGCTGCTTCTCTTGCAGATATAGCTGAGTCACAAAACCTTCCTTCAACGGCTGTTTGAACAAGCTTATCACACAAAACCTCTGGATCAGCCTCTACAATGATACTAACCTGCTCTTATAAAAAAAATAAAAAATTAGGAGGGGAGAGTGGGGGAAGAAGGTAAGTTTCCAGTAATCGCAGGAAAAGAAAGTTCTCCCTTAAAGGCATGACTTTAGAATTAATAAATGAAGTAAAGAATTAATTTTCTGATGCAGTACTACTATTTTCAAATTACTAGAATCAGTCATGTCTAATAGAAAAAAAAATTATAATCCATGAATGAAATTTCTACTTACAGCTCGTAATGCCTTGGCCCGAATCACAGGTGAGTTCTCCCTTAGACTTGCCTGAAATTAATTAAATGAGAAGAATATACAACTATTCTTTTCTTTTACTAGTATCTCATGAAATGACTAACCAGAAGCATATGAAGAATCTTATCCAAGCCTCTGGAGAAAGAATTATTTTGTCCCAATGCCATCGCTATCTTCTTGACTGAATCCCTGGTAAATAATGAAGAACTAATCCTAGAGTCGTGCACAATTGCTTCCGATTTCAATCTGGCAAGGTAGAAGAACAACTTCTGTCGAGAATTAGGGTCATCTTTGTACCACAGGCAAAGATAAAACCTGCACATTAATATTTTATTGACAAGGTCAACTCAAAACAAAGAATCAAGGATACAAGGGATAAATATTGCCACAGACCAGCGGGTAAAGAGATGCACATCAGTGGCAGACCCAGAGTCCTGGAGGTAATTCAAAAGCATCTGCTGGACAATCTCCACTTTTGTAGGTGGATAGGTTGATTCAGATGACTTTTCTGACGAACTATGATTCTTTTTCTCATCATCCTTGCACTGCGACTTGCAGTAAGATTCTAAGACAATAAGCTGCTTCCTGCAGAGGCAAAACTGGCAGTACCAGCTGCGGGTAGGAACTTCATGTTCTCTAACTCCCATGCAGTCTGCATGAAATAATCTCTGACAACCGTGACATACAAACAGGGATTTTTCAGACTTAGCATCCAAACAAACAGAACATGCCTCTTTTGAATAGCTGCAGTCAGCATTGTCCTTAATTATCATCTCCTGCACTATCCAAAAAATTTCTCTCCTGCACAGGACAGCATCATGTTTCAACCTTGCAGCAATAGTACCAAGAAGGTCAATGGCCATTGAACGAGCAGCAACATCTTTAGATTTCAGTCCAGCATTTTGGAGAAGTAAGACACACAGAACCTGCAGAAATTTCTCTTAATATGACGACAAAGTAAAGCATTCGAGAACACTTGAATCTAAAGGAACATACCTCCAAAAGAGGAGCAGAAGCAGGATATTCAGGTAAATTCAATGTTGTCAGCAAATCCATTACAAGATTCTCCATCATTGTCTTCACCTCAGATGCTTCTTGAGTTTTTGTACTCGTAAACCGCTGAAGAACACGACTCCAAAACAAACAGCATGCCTCTGTGACTGCCTCAAGGCATTTGGTAGGGTAACTGGCATCAATTGAGACTTCTAACAAAGAAATGCCATTAGTTGTCTGCTTTATAGCTTCAGGAAGGTTTGCACTACAATGAACCAACTGAATCAACAGAGCAGTAATCATCTGAATCTGCCTTTGCTCTTCATCAGGTAGATGATAGGTTCTTGGTACTCGCTTCGAAAAGGGTAACTTCAGAAGCAGCTGAAGTACTTCATCCATTATATAAGTGCGATGCTGTGTGTATGTATAAAATACCTGCCACCAGATTAATGAAAATGTAACACAATTCCGATCAAAAAAGAACAAAAAGAAAGGGTCATACATACATTTGAAGTCAATGTAGTCAACACAACAAAAGAGTATAGTATTAAATACCCCGCTAATTAAATTGATTGCTTTCAGCTGCAAGAGCTGGATATTATCCACCAAGAATGTTGTAAAGCTTGTCCTCACCAATTGCAGAATGCAACTATCTGATAGCCGCTCTATCGACAACAAATCCTTCAGAAAACCAATAATCGTGCAGAGTTTCTGAAGTATGGTGGTGACAGCAGCAGACATCCTACCAAAGCCAGACATAAAATACTCATTTGGACTACCCAGATAAAATGTCATTATGTTCTGTAAGAAGATATGCTGTAAATTATAATGTATAGGCACACTTGTTTGCTGCTGATTTCTTCACTTTTATATTCTTAGAAGTACGCCTTTTCCTACTTGCGGAACCAAAATCAGCATCAATCTCTTCATCTTCTTCACCTAAAATAAAAGAGCGAAAAAATGAACAACAATCACATGAGATATGGGTGAAAATCATGAACTTCGCTCTTTCATAAACTAGTTAATTCTAGAAAAAAAGATCTGCTTTTCAAGTTAGCCCATAGGCTACGCTCCCCTTCCCCCAGAAACATATGCTAAAATGGCGCTTGAACCTTGCCCATCCCCTTAGTGGGTAGCAGGAGATACCGGTGGTACACACGCGGCTGCTGGCACAGGCACAAGCACAAGTTGAATTGCACACCATATATCCCCATTTCCACCTTGCTTTGTACAAAGCACGATATCCTATAATCACTCAGCAAGCTGAACAAGCTACCTTCAAGAACCCCATTTTCATCTGGTTTATGCAGGGCACGATATGCTGGATCACAAGCACACATAACGTCTGTAATCTGATGCCTAGAAAACTCCAGAATTCTTTCAATTATCTGACAAGGAGAAACTACAATCACACAACAAGCTTTACAGGGAACGAATCACACCCAAATTGGATCCTAATGGGTGCAGATAACACAGCATAGCAGATGAAATGATAAAAAAAAGGTTCAACAGTAAAATCGGCATACCTCTTCTTTATAGAGCTGCTTTGCCATGCCCCTATGAGCCATTATTGCTAGAGCTGCATGAATTGATTCCAGAGCACCACAAACAGATGACACTACATCTGAATCTGCCTGGAATATAATATAGGACTATAAGGATCACATCAATCACAATAATAATTAAGGCAAGCTAGTAACAAAGCAATCATCCGCTCATATAGGGAAACCAAGCACAGAATGTTTGCCAGGTATGGAGAATTAGCAAAATTCCTATTTTTCTCTTTTCTTTTTGGAATTTAATTGACACTTCCAACCCCTCCCATCCCCCTTTTGGAAATACAAATCAAAGAGTTAAAGACCAAGGATGCGGTGGGACATGAATAACGATGGCCAAGGCATCTTCATTGCAACATCGAACTAGATTGATAAAAAATAATTCTGAATACATTGTGAGGGGGTCAATCAAACATATTATAGTCCTTATTTAAAAAAAAGAGTTTGAAAGAAATAACAATGAGGGATTCACCAATGAAATTCAAACCCCCCCCCCCCAAAACAAAAAAAGGTACAGAAAGCTAGGAAGGAAACACAGGAGTCAAGCATACCATTGATGTGATTAGCCTTTCAATGAACACTTTTGATTCCAATCCGTTTCAATAATGTATATTCAAGAGAAAAAAAGGAATTATGATAAATGAAATTAAACTATTCGTCTAGAAATACCAATGTAACTCATATTTTTAATAAGTTAATAATACAATACAAAACTACAGTTTTTGTAGTGCATATATGTAGTTTCAACCACTTATATTTATTTTTGATATTATTTTTGTTCATATTGATGTAGATTAAGAAAGGAAATAATTACGGGATGAGAAATCATGAGAAAGAGGAGAACTTGGGGAGCAAACAATATCAATATTCAATATATATAGGGAGTACAAACTCTAAAGCAAATAAATAGTCAAAATGATAAATAAGTCCCAAGTCCCAACAAGTAAAATGAAAAATAATCCCTACTTCTACCCCAACTATAACAAAAGACAATCTGATTCCCATCACATATCTTCTTGAAACTACTTCCCATTAATATGATCTTCAAAAAATCATATTCAAATTGATTACACATTCGTCTATCAAAATACGGTGTCAGATTAGAATAAAGGTGCTCGTCGAGTTCAGATTATACTGATACTAACTTATACTCTCCTATCAAAAAAATATTACCTTATACTCTATGTTTTCAAGACCTAATGTGGTTAAGGATACATCTAATAGAGCAAACGGGAAAAAAAATCAACTAGAAGAGACATAAATTCACAATAATTCACAACTGATATTAAGGAAGCAAATTTATGTCTGGCTCACTCATTGGATGTTTTCACCTATCAATATATGACCTCAATGTATTTAAGTTGTAGGTCAAAAGGAAGTGTTTAGTATAGATACCTCCAGGAAATACGAGGTCATTATTAGAACTATTTCGTAATTGATGATTCTTTCAGAAGTTAAGAAATAAGTAGAATCAAGCGTAAGTAATGTGGCCCAAAGTAATGACAAACATCATAGCATATGAATTAACTAAAGGCATACTCTAAATTAGGAAGGGAAAAAAAAAAGTGGAGAAACAAGATTCATGCAACACATCCAGGATACAGCAATTTGCATTCATATTATAAACATAACTTTCACGTTGACCAGGGATAGAAGGAAAGAAAAAGCAATCATCAAGGAACCCCCCCCCCTTCCTTTTTTTTTTTTTTTTTACTATTTTCCCCAAAAAACATAAACAAAAAAAGTTCTCGAGACCTCTAATTATTCTAGGTAGCTACTTTATGTTATAGTACAAAAATAGCTTACACAAGACAAGATGAAAGCCCACCCATATCCTTTCCAATCTATCCTTCTGTACACAACTGTGGCCACAGCAGCAACGTGAAACAATTCTACAGCCTAAGTTTAGGTGACATTTTGGTCACAAAGAAGTCCAGAAGAATCTAAAAGCCCAACATATTTCCCTATGAACTCTATTCCTTCGTTTTGCTGATGCATACAATACTACAACTCAAAGGAACATATGTGATAATTTTCAAAATCTAGGGCTCATACCCTAATTGTTCATGCCATCATAACAGCCTTCTTCTTACAGCTAATTAATCATTTTCAAGCAGTAGTCCTTTTGCTCATAAAACAGAACCATGTATAAAATTTAAAGATACAGCACAATTAGATGACGAAACAATGACCGGGCACAATGTAACATTGCAAGGAAACACTCTTTTGCATATCCGAAAACCATGCAGTGATTTATTAGTATAACTAATTTGCTACAATATCAGATGGAAAACGTAATAAAGAAAAACTTAATGTAATCAGTTAGAAATGGGTAGATATTTTCTTTAAAAATTAACTGTTTGTCTGGAGTTGGTAACTTATTTTGCATTTTCTCCTTTTCTGGTTTTTCTCCTATTTGCTCCTATCCAGCGCCACTTTATATTAATGAAGTTGATCGTATTCACTGAAATGTTTTGGTCTGGATGTTCATATCCCAGTGTCTCTGGTCAAAAAACTGCAGCAACACCATTTTGGCCACGATTCCATCAGAAGATTCCAAGATAGTTGCTGTTGGCCTGAAAGGTGAGACACCGACCATTGAGGGTTCAAACTTCAATCAGGATACACATTGTGTAGCATTTGACACAACCATCTTTCTAACCCTTCTTTTTTTTTTTGACAAGTCCATCAGAAATTCATTTTAATTAAACTGCAGATAAGTATAAGCTACTTACGTTTTGATACGTATGTAGGTGCTTGTCCCTCCTTCACTGGCAATCAATGGAACCCCCGTTTCCAATTAAGACAAGCTCATTTAAAGCAATCAAACCATTTCCATTGAAGGATACCCAAGAAGAACCGAAAGACAATCACATAAATTCTATTGTCCACAGGTAGATTGCCATGTGTAAAATAATTCCGTCAAACACCACTTGGTGTGAGTATAGGCACAAGATACCCAACACATCTAGTCTTGAACACCACCCAACAATTCTTTCCAAAAGATGAACAAAAGAAGAAGGCCTTTTCCGACACATGATAAGTGTTTTTGAAATGAGTTCACATGGATATTTTGAAATGACTTTGAGGAGCACCCATGTCTAGGAAGCCATTTTGCATTGAAACTTCATGCTATCCTAAACCACTAATGACAAAAACTCCAGTCAGGAGGAAAAAAAATTTCATGTCCGCGTGTCCCAAGACGCTAGTAACTTATCAAAATCTTGACAAATGACCTCTTCCACATGACTGACATAAAATATCATATTTTTTAATAGAATCTTGGAATGGACTGCAACTTGTGAAATCTAGCCATTCTTGGATTAATGGTAAAAAATCTGGTTCATGAAATATGAACAATATGGTCGAAATACAGGCATTTTGCACATGCCATTCTATAAAATTGTGGAGTATGGAGGGGAAACAAAGATCAAGTACATGCAGAAAATATTGCAACAAGCTGAATGGCATTAAACAGGGAATCATAAACCTTCCCACACAAAGCCAGAAGAAGAGGGTGAAAGAGAAAAAAAACTGTCAATATAAACAGGCTATTGTCTACACTACTGTCAGCAACAAGCAAAAAACGATATTAGAATTGCAAACTTACATGTCCACAATCATTAATTGATAAACCTTCTGCCCGATGAATCTGATGATCTAAAACTCTCAACATTCTCACAAGAACATCTACAGGAACCACATGTAGGACTTTCTTCGCTCGAATAGACATAATTTCGTTCACAAGCATCCTAAGATCAGAAATAGGCAATGGTAACCACTCCGCTTCATCCCGGTCATCACTGAGAATTTCTGCTCTTCCACAGAAGTCCTCCAACAACTCACAAAAGCTTCCAACAGCAGCATCTAAGCAAAGAGGCACAAAGCTTAACATTCCAACAAGACATATCACAGAGAGAACATGAATGAAAAGACAAAAATCTAAAAGACCTTGACGCTCAATAGCATCAGGACCTGCTGATGACAAAATGTCACCACTTCCCTTCTTCTTGGCTTTCNACATTCCAACAAGACATATCACAGAGAGAACATGAATGAAAAGACAAAAATCTAAAAGACCTTGACGCTCAGTAGCATCAGGACCTGCTGATGACAAAATGTCACCACTTCCCTTCTTCTTGGCTTTCTGTTTTCTAGAAGAAGATGTAACAGCATCCTGCAATTTTATTTTGCATAATTTGAAAGCATAAACAACTAAATTATCAACTGCTTAAACCAATCAAAAAGTAGACTCAAAAAAACCACCAAAAATGTACATTAGGAACAACGACGCCATGCTGACGATTTTGAATTCCTCCAAATTCTCTCTGGGCGTCATTAGTTATGGGGACACTTTGCTCAAAAGGCTTCTTGTCGGTTACTGTACTACAAATTTGATCTTTAATAGGACCTGAGAAACTTGAACAATGCAACATAGAATAAGCATGGAACATTTTATTTCTGCAAACATAAAAATTTCATTACCTACAGAACAGAACAGAACAACAGGAAAATATAAGCCAAGTAGCATAGATGATATCTACACAGCATGTATACATCAACAAGAAAAACCACACGGCAAGGCAGAATTAGGATCGCAAGCCATANAGAACAACAGGAAAATATAAGCCAAGTAGCATAGATGATATCTACACAGCACGTATACATCAACAAGAAAAACCACACGGCAAGGCAGAATTAGGATCGCAAGCCATACCACCAATATTATGAGTCCCAGTTGCACCAAAAGCAATGTAAAAGTATTACCAAGAATCCAATTCTCCAAGTAAAAACTTGCATTATCTTCACTACAGATCCGAGTTCTCCAGTCAGAAAAATAGAAATTTCACCCTATTTAAAGAAAGCCCATCTAGGGCTAAGAAGTGAGGTTTCTACACTTCCCATTATGATTTCCTTCACAGAAGAGATTGCTTAAACAAACAAGTCGAACCCATTACATCCAAAAAAAGGACAACTGAATCAACAAAATTGCGACCCTCAACGAGAAGAACCAATTATACCAAACCCCAAAGTGTCAACATCTAATAAGACTTTTTATTTTGGTTTTAGAATTTCCAGAACACGAAAAGACTCATTAATCCAAATGTCCATCTTGACGCTGAAGACATTCCCAACCATCCCATTTCAATTCCTTGAATCAAATTGCACCTTTAAACCAAAAGATAAAGGAAGAGAAGATAAAAAAAGAAACCTGCCCTAGAATTATTGTCCCTCACAACCATCTCCCATGATGTTACAAATGCTTTTATATAGTAAACCTTTAAATGTATCCTTCTCAGTTCTCCAACTCATTGGAAAACTATTCTAACCAGGCCCCCTGATTTAATCAATGATCTTTCAATTCTAAGCCATCTCAAGTAGGAAAAAAAAAACTCACTTTTAAAAAAGAGAATTTTCTTCTTTGTTTTATATAAGTCTCGCTGAGAATATTCACCTTAAAAAACATGAAGTTTGGCAACCAATTAATCTTCCTCCAATACAAACTTGTAAGCTCCAGCTTTATAAAGATCTAATATTCTAGCATTTTCCAGCCAGCAGATTTATATTTCAGCCCCTGTTTATTGACAAAACTCCAAGAACAAGGCTCTGACCATTCAAAAATTCTAACAAAAAATGATTGCTTTGTATTACCACTAGTTTTGTGAGTTTGATTTGAGATGAAGGGGAAAAGAAAGACTAAGAAAACAAAAAAGAATAAGGAAATTAAGTATTTGCTTCGTATTACCAATAGTTTGGTGAGTTTGATGTGAGATAAAGGGGAAAAGAAAGACTAAGAAAACAAAAAAAGAATCAGGAAATTATGTATGTGTTTCAAGACCTATAAGGCTAAGACCAATTCAGGAAAGTCCCAAACAACTACATAAGAACTCTTTCAGTAGTCATCACCATTTCTTCAACAAATCGAGCTTTTCAAGCATAAAGCATTTTCTTTGAAATTGTAAAACCCTGGTTTCTTCGGAAAAGACCATGAGAAACAACCGAGACTGGAATGAAGTCTACTAAGGTAATTTACATGGTGCACCAAACGACAGAAAACCTATGACACGTCCACCAAATTCTGATGTGGGCCAGCAGGGGTCAAAGATACGCTTACCACTTCACTGGTGCACCCAAACTCACTATTACAAATCTAAACCTAACAAACTGATTGATGACCTGTCAGGACACGAAAATACCAACCATGAAGCCAACCAAAGGCTCACTGTCATTTCAGGCCAGACCAAATATTTGACTCCCAAGCATCCCCTTTAAAGGGAAAATGGGCAAATGCATTTAGAATTTTTATTTAGACACTACTGAAAAATTGCTACTTACACTGAATTTTGATAAAGCAGTGATCCCATAGGGCCACACCAAACACAATCACAAACAACTGATCACCTGATTCATTTCTGACTAGCCACTTTCAGACATCTCAACAAGCCGCCATAACATCTATTATCCCAAGCATTTTAGCTCCATTCTGTATCGCAACATTACCACCAACTACTCCTTTAAAAAGATTCCTGAGACCTAGTTCAATTTCAATACTTTGTATCTTAGGAAGAAACGACCCATAACTAGTGTTCTCCTTCTTATTCTAGATAAGTAGTAATTATATCTTGGCCTGATTCTAGATCAATGCACAAAAAACCCAAATGATAAAGAAAGATAAAAACGAAGATTAAACAATAATTAAAAAACCAGCATTAGTAGATTTTGATTACCTGGAGCTATGTGCTCAAATGCTTCAGAATCGTATGTAAGAACTTCATTATAAAGGTCCAGAGAACCCACATAGCCATAAGGTTGAGGACTTGCCTCAGCTCTAAGATTCCTGCACATAACGCCTGGTCAGTCCAAAAGCACAGCACCCACATAAATATCACATACTACATGAGTTTACATCTCATCGATCCACAACTTAGGTGGGGTAAGAGTGCACTTGGCCATCTGATGGGCTAGGTCCCAAGAGTTTGGGAGATGTAATCCCTAGTCCCCTGGATTCTGGATAATTGGTCACAATCTTGCCGGAAGCCATTTTTTCCACCCTGTTTTGTTTCTCTTACATGCATCAACACATTTTCAGACTATTTGAAATTCCATTTTACCCACAATATGATGAACCGTGTTTTTAGTACTACTTGCATGAAATCCAGCGTCACAATAATTCACGGCGTTCAACTCTTACAAAGCCATGAAGGACAAAAAAACATTACTCTAAAATGAGACTAATGAAGACCTTGTGCGAGGGTGCTTTGGTATGCTGACATATGGACTTCCAAACAAAGTTTCAAACGTTTAGCATCAAAACTCAGCCCTTTCTTCAAAAATCTCAACAATAGAAACAAAAAAAAAATACAGTTCTCTCTTCCCAAAATATATGTTTCCACACTAAATAAAGTAACAAATATTATAGTGACAAAGCCTATGGCTCAAAGCATAACTGCAAGTGAAGTACATTTCAAGCTAAATTCAAAAATTAAACAGAAAAAATCAACAGAAAAAAACTCACAAGTAAGAAACATCAGTGTTCCGTAGCAGATCAGCTATTCTGCTAGCTTGATTAACAACATCATTCCGATTCAACGATCTCGAACTGCTATGCTCATCGAACAAGTGGAGCACCTCATCAAGCGCACCACAAAACACCGGCAGAGACGGCAACGGCAAGCACGGCGCGACCTCCGAATGGACTGTGTTGGAAAGGCTTATGCCCCGGGGAATTCCACCACTTGGATTCAACATCGGTCAATTAATCACAGGCACACCGATACACAGTTCGTATGTGTAGGTGAACACTCATTTCAGACCTGACATGCGGAGATTTAGGTTTGAATTAGGGTTTCTAGAGAGGGAAAGTGGAGTTGAATATGGAGCAGGTATTAAGCCCTAGAGAGAGAAAGGGGGAGGTAAGAGAAGCAAATGGCGGGGAATCCGTATAGAAAAATTTGGGGACTTTACCCTGTGAGTTGGAGAAGACTGTACTTGGGCGGTTGGGTTTTATATGTGCAGTGGAAAATGAGTCCAACTTATGCAATGACGTGAATACCCTTGGCTCCGCTGTCTGTACGCTGTCAAAACGCTGTCGTATGAGTACGTGTANGCGCCATTGTGCTTTGGTATGCTGACATATGGACTTCCAAACAAAGTTTCAAACGTTTAGCATCAAAACTCAGCCCTTTCTTCAAAAATCTCAACAATAGAAACAAAAAAAAAATACAGTTCTCTCTTCCCAAAATATATGTTTCCACACTAAATAAAGTAACAAATATTATAGTGACAAAGCCTATGGCTCAAAGCATAACTGCAAGTGAAGTACATTTCAAGCTAAATTCAAAAATTAAACAGAAAAAATCAACAGAAAAAAACTCACAAGTAAGAAACATCAGTGTTCCGTAGCAGATCAGCTATTCTGCTAGCTTGATTAACAACATCATTCCGATTCAACGATCTCGAACTGCTATGCTCATCGAACAAGTGGAGCACCTCATCAAGCGCACCACAAAACACCGGCAGAGACGGCAACGGCAAGCACGGCGCGACCTCCGAATGGACTGTGTTGGAAAGGCTTATGCCCCGGGGAATTCCACCACTTGGATTCAACATCGGTCAATTAATCACAGGCACACCGATACACAGTTCGTATGTGTAGGTGAACACTCATTTCAGACCTGACATGCGGAGATTTAGGTTTGAATTAGGGTTTCTAGAGAGGGAAAGTGGAGTTGAATATGGAGCAGGTATTAAGCCCTAGAGAGAGAAAGGGGGAGGTAAGAGAAGCAAATGGCGGGGAATCCGTATAGAAAAATTTGGGGACTTTACCCTGTGAGTTGGAGAAGACTGTACTTGGGCGGTTGGGTTTTATATGTGCAGTGGAAAATGAGTCCAACTTATGCAATGACGTGAATACCCTTGGCTCCGCTGTCTGTACGCTGTCAAAACGCTGTCGTATGAGTACGTGTAAGCTTGTAGGAGAAGCTTCAATATTTTCTTACATTTTCCGGGCGAACAGGATGGATTAAAATTTTGTTTTTGAAATTGCTGAAACGTTTTTTATTTCTAATAAAACTAAAACGAATTAGTAATTTAATTGAATTCTTAATATTTTGAGATATCAATATATTTTAAACAAAATATTATGCATCTCAAATGAATAGAGACCCTACGATGAGTAGGTTTAATTGAAAAAAATTAATGAGATTTAAGACTCGTAATCAAATTGAGTTTTGCAAATTTGAGACGAGTTTTTTGAATATTTTTTTAAATAAGTTTAAAAAATTATTCAAACTCAATTCATTTATAAAATAAGTCGAACCCGAATAGCTCAACTTTTTAATGTATAAACAAGACTAAAAAATTATACAAGCTTAGCTCGTAACTCGAATCAAGTCATATTGGAGTTGAAACCGATTAATTTAACTCAATTATCAGCCCTAACGAAACCTATTAATCTAAGAATCAACATTGATTTAGGATCACTAGTATTCGTCGTGGTTTAATATATTAGGACTAATAATGTTTTAAAATATTTTGAGAATAAAATTTTATATATTTATTTATTTTTATTATATTTTAAAAATATTTTGACGTATATACCTAGTCAAAAGTTTATGACATTTATACCCAAAAAAAAAAANGGGGAATCCGTATAGAAAAATTTGGGGACTTTACCCTGTGAGTTAGAGAAGACTGTACTTGGGCGGTTGGGTTTTATATGTGCAGTGGAAAATGAGTCCAACTTATGCAATGACGTGAGTACCCTTGGCTCCGCTGTCTGTACGCTGTCAAAACGCTGTCGTATGAGTACGTGTAAGCTTGTAGGAGAAGCTTCAATATTTTCTTACATTTTCCGGGCGAACAGGATGGATTAAAATTTTGTTTTTGAAATTGCTGAAACGTTTTTTATTTCTAATAAAACTAAAACGAATTAGTAATTTAATTGAATTCTTAATATTTTGAGATATCAATATATTTTAAACAAAATATTATGCATCTCAAATGAATAGAGACCCTACGATGAGTAGGTTTAATTGAAAAAAATTAATGAGATTTAAGACTCCTAATCAAATTGAGTTTTGCAAATTTGAGACGAGTTTTTTGAATATTTTTTTAAATAAGTTTAAAAAATTATTCAAACTCAATTCATTTATAAAATAAGTCGAACCCGAATAGCTCAACTTTTTAATGTATAAACAAGACTAAAAAATTATACAAGCTTAGCTCGTAACTCGAATCAAGTCATATTGGAGTTGAAACCGATTAATTTAACTCAATTATCAGCCCTAACGAAACCTATTAATCTAAGAATCAACATTGATTTAGGATCACTAGTATTCGTCGTGGTTTAATATATTAGGACTAATAATGTTTTAAAATATTTTGAGAATAAAATTTTATATATTTATTTATTTTTATTATATTTTAAAAATATTTTGACGTATATACCTAGTCAAAAGTTTATGACATTTATACCCAAAAAAAAAAAGGGTAAGCTTAAGTTGCAAGTAAAGACAAATTTTCTTTAAGTTGCGGTTTGGGACGTCGGTTTTGCATGTATACGGGCTCTCTTCTTATGTTTTTTTTTTCTTTCTGGTGGATTGAGAAGGTGAGGAATTCCTCGAAAAATGGATTGTGTTTGGCATAACTTTTCATGATAAAAGTGCATCTTATGGATGGACTTTAAAAAAACTCTAGATGTTTGGTATATGTTCATTTTGAAAGTGCTTCTAACCCAAAAGGGCATCTATATTTATGTGAGAGTATATTTGGAGCCGGAATTTTTGAAGTGTAAAATGTCATTGTGTTATTTTTTACCTTTTCATACTCTTATTTATTTATCTTTAAATTAAAATTTAATAATAACGTGTTTGAATAATAATCGAATTAATTTATTGAGTCACTAAATAATAAACCTATACTGAACTCGGTTATAAACAATTTAAGCATCACAATAATTCAACTTTGTACTAATTGAATTATACACCAAGCAAATTTAATATCACTGGGCAACACCGACACCGTTGTTGAAGCCCCTTCAACAATAAACGACATAATGTCCGGTCTATGTTATACATTGTCTTATAACGGAGGAAATTGAAGTTCATAATCCAAGTTCATGAACTTTGTTATCAACAATAAACGACATAATGTCTAGTCTATGTTCTACATTGTCTTATAACGGAGGAAATCAAAGTTCATAACGAAGTTCATGAGGCCTGGACATAATGTTCCACAACCACAAGCACATTTAAAATTGAAACAATAAAAGAATTCTTTCACCAGATAACAAGTATGCTATGCCGACAAATGTAAGTAGCAAAAAGTCAAATGTAAGTAACACATTACAGCAACTAAATTTTGTAAAATCTTATAAACTCGTCGTTTGGACTAAAGATCTACTGATCGAAAATGAATTAACAAGGAAAACCTATGTCCTTTTCGAGGGAATTCATGTAGCTGACATGGAAAAAAGCACTAGTTACAACAAACCGCTATTGATAATACTCTATGAATCTGAGCCATCTTTGTAGTGTCTTGCATCGTCTCCTTCATCTGTACTGTCATCACTTGATGTGCTTTCTGAAATGTCGGTTTGCTCAAACATGATTGGGTCCTCTGCTTCAAAAACTTTACACAATACAATATTTGATATCTGAAGGGGAAAAAATAAAAACATAGTTAGGAAGTTGCCAACTAATCTTTACGCTGCATCCATTACAAGAATTAGGGTATTTTGTGACATCTGTGTTTCCCGTCACAAAAAAACATGTTTTTGAAGAAAAAAAGTTTTTGTGGTTGTTGTGTTGTCACAAAAGATTTATTTGTTATCACGTATACTATTTAAGACGACTTGTTGCCAGCATAAAGACTTTTTGAAACTCAACTTATTATGCACGGCCATTGCAGCGGCATTGGCCGCCATAATAAGTAAAGTCTCAAAAAGTCTTTATGACGGCAACGAGTCGTCTCAAATAGTATTTGTGACGGCAACAAGTCGTCTCAAATAGTATTTGTAGCAGCAAATAACTTTTNTAAGCTTGTAGGAGAAGCTTCAATATTTTCTTACATTTTCCGGGCGAACAGGATGGATTAAAATTTTGTTTTTGAAATTGCTGAAACGTTTTTTATTTCTAATAAAACTAAAAATTACTTGAATTCTTAATATTTTGAGATATCAATATATTTTAAACAAAATATTATGCATCTCAAATGAATAGAGACCCTACGATGAGTAGGTTTAATTGAAAAAAATTAATGAGATTTAAGACTCGTAATCAAATTGAGTTTTGCAAATTTGAGACGAGTTTTTTGAATATTTTTTTAAATGAATGTAAAAAATTATTTAAATTCAATTCATTTATAGAATAAGTCAAACCCGAATAACTCAACTTTTTAATGTATAAACGAGACTAAAAAATTATACAAGCTTAGCTCGTAACTCGAATCAAGTCATATTGGAGTCGAAACCGATTAATTTAACTCAATTATCAGCCCTAACAAAACCTATTAATCTAAGAATCAACATTGATTTAGGATCACTAGTATTCGTCGTGGTTTAATATATTAGGACTAATAATGTTTTAAAATATTTTGAGAATAAAATTTTATATATTTATTTATTTTTATTATATTTTAAAAATATTTTGACGTATATACCTAGTCAAAAGTTTGTGACATTTATACCCAAAAAAAAAAAAGGGTAAGCTTAAGTTGCAAGTAAAGACAAATTTTCTTTAAGTTGCGGTTTGGGACGTCGGTTTTGCATGTATACGGGTTCTCTTCTTATGTTTTTTTTTTCTTTCTGGTGGATTGAGAAGGTGAGGAATTCCTCGAAAAATGGATTGTGTTTGGCATAACTTTTCATGATAAAAGTGCATCTTATGGATGGACTTTAAAAAAACTCTAGATGTNGTTCTCTTCTTATGTTTTTTTTTTTTCTTTCTGGTGGATTGAGAAGGTGAGGAATTCCTCGGAAAATCGATTGTGTTTGGCACAACTTTTCATGATAAAAGTGCATCTTATGGATGGACTTTAAAAAAACTCTAGATGTTTGGTATATGTTCATTTTGAAAGTGCTTCTAACCCAAAAGGGCATCTATTTATGTGAGAGTATATTTGGAGCCGGAATTTTTGAAGTGTAAAATGTCATTGTGTTATTTTTTACCTTTTCATACTCTTATTTATTTATCTTTAAATTAAAATTTNCGTATACTATTTAAGACGACTTGTTGCCGGCATAAAGACTTTTTGAAACTCAACTTATTATGCACGGCCATTGCAGCGGCATTGGCCGCCATAATAAGTAGAGTCTCAAAAAGTCTTTATGACGGCAACGAGTCGTCTCAAATAGTATTTGTGACGGCAACAAGTCGTCTCAAATAGTATTTGTAGCAGCAAATAACTTTTTTACGACAACACTATTACCAGAAAAAACAAATTTTCTTCAAAACACAATTTTTTGTGACAGTAAACACAGCTGCCACAAAAAACTTGTGTCAAAAGGTCCTAATTCATGTAGTGATATGACACAAGGTAAAGGATGAGTTTATCTTATGAGATTTAAAAACAACAATTTTTGCTCACACTTTGTACACTATAACCAAGTACTTCAAACCTGATACCCAACTGTTATTTCAAAGAGAGAGAGAGGGGATCCTATACACCTGTTGAATTTTCTTTTTGTGGAGGTAATCACTCTAGTTGCAGGGAGATTAAAGCTTCAATAGTATTAGGTTGAGATTTAAGAATGTAGTCAGTATGTGTGGAGATGAAAAAAGATCACCTTCTCTTTTGTATTTTCATCAAGTTCGCTAGCTGTAAACACATTGGTGTGCGCTCTATATTCGCTGATCATCCAACAAGTCTTTGTCCATGATCCTAGGTTTCCACGATAAAAAACAAGCTTTCGCTTGAAACCAATAACTTTGGAATGAGAAACAATTATGTCATCCAAGAAAGAACTCCAATAACCATCCTTCGTGAAAACATCATGTTTCGGCTTAGTGCTGTAAAAATACCACCTTATCCCGTTCCCGTACTTAAACTCACCTGCACATAATTGACAAAATTACGATCATACAAAATTACTATTTGTGCTCAAACTAGCTGAACCTCCCCCCCCCCCCCAAAAAAAAAAAAAAAAAAATCTGCAACGTTAGAACAATAAAATGGCAAAAATGAAAGCCAAATACTGTTTAAAATTAGATAAATATGATTCCAAACAATATTATCTGACATAAGCATTTAGTGTAGCATAATTTGAAGTAATAGAGAACATGACATGAATGAACAATTTCTGAATCAGTCAATTTTTGAATGCTGCTAGTGCATATTTTCCCATTATTTTCATTTATTATCAAGTCTTGAAATAATAGTTGGATAGCCTTGACGATTGCATCTTCAATAGTTCAGGGATACTATAGTGTTCTAAATATGTAATTTTTTTTTCCTTTTTTCCTTTTAAATAATGGACATGAGTTGTACTTGAAAACTTTTTTTTTTTTTTTTTCTGAAGGAGATTTCACTTGATGTGTGCCCTTGCATTGTTGGACTTTTGATGTTAAAATAATGAAATGAGAGATAGTAAGTTGCACGTGTAAGTTGGATCATCAGATAATGATGGAAGTCTATTTTCAAAAGCACTGATGAGAGAACTTGGAAAGATAAAGTGCTGCATTCTAATAGTGATTTGTTCAATTTTAGGATGGCGAGCCAGATTAAGGAGGATCTTATTCACGATATTTGATTTGAGAGTCAAAATCAGTGGCTTTCTGGTTATGGGTTGACCAATTCTAGCCTTTATTGAGTAAAGGAATGACAATTTAGATGGGTTAAAAACCATTGATTTTTAGTGTTGAAAAACTTGGAATGGTTTTAATTCGTAAAAGATGGTTTGGATCTCATACAACTTATCTTTAAGGACTTTCATTCTTTGATCTATTTTGTCAAAGGTAGTAACGTTCTAACTTTTCAGTGCGATCCTATGATTTACTTTTCAAAGGTACTTGTGAATGCTGTTTTGGGTCTCTGTGAAAGTCCATGGCCTTTGCTGCATATATTAGGAAGATTGTGTATTTGTTAAGGGGTGTGGAATTTCAGATTAGTCATGTTTATAGAGAAGCAAATACTGTTGCCGACAGGTTAGTTAATCAGGCAGTTAAAGGAGGGAGATCCTATGATTTTTCTGAGGATTTGCAGTTGCCTTGTGAGGTAAAGCTGGCTCTGCCGGGTGATTTGAGGGGTTTTCCTATGCCGAGGAAGAGTAAGACTTTGGTTTTTGATGATATGGGCTAATGGGTTTTGTTCTTATTTTTCTGTAGTGTTGCTGTGGTGGTTTAGGGGTGACAGTCTTCTGGAAGGTTTTTTCGGTGTGGTTTTGCTGCCGTAAGAGGTTGGGGTGTTCTCGAAGCTTTCTATGCTTTGGTGCCTTTTAGAGCTGTTGAGGAGTTTTTTATTTGGTGTCTTTTGCTTTGTTTTTTGTTGAGGAAAGGTGTCTTGTGCCTTTTCCTCAGTTTTGTTTCTTGTAATGCTTTTGCATTTGTGAATAAATAAAATTTTGTTTAAAAAAAAAAAACTTTTAAGTGCAATCTATTTTTCTACGTGCCTCAACTCTTGTGAACTTGAATTCCCCGCCCCATGTGTATAAGTGTAATTTTGATTGTGGCCCATATATTCTAAAGGACAAACCTGTTAAGTTCATTATCACTTGGCATGCCACCTTAGCCATCAAAAGGGATCTTAATGCCATGCTCTAAGTAACTGAGACTCTGTTTTTCTTGTTTATGTTGGAGATGAATTGAGACTTATTTAGGATTTGATTATTCCAAGAACCTTAGTAGTTTGGAGTACCACCCCCCAACAACCATTAACTTGTTTATGGAGAATTAATGCTTTTCAAAAAAGAACAATTCTACAAAACTCTAGTCCCAGAAAAGCAATTGACTCTCAAATGCTTCTTCTAAAACTTTTTTTCAAACCGTAATCAAACACTTAACAAAAAAACAACATATGGGAATGAGTACTTATACTTGGATATAAAAATTTGAAGTAATTTGTTGACCTAATAATGAAATTTCATTATATTAATATTAAATTTTAATATTTAACGGGCGTGCAATCAATCTAAATGCGATCGTGAATTAGATTAGTAAATTAGGTCTATAAATTAGCATTGTTCAGTGGGTAAGGTACTGCAAATTGACGCACACCAAACAACATTGACATAATTATAAGCAGAAGATATAAATACTTACTGAATGGAAGCTCCTCAGGACTGGTGGCATAGATGTCGACGGTAGGGATTGCATCAGATGGAAGCGGTCGACCCAAAATCTTACTCCTCAAATAAATCATTATCTCTGGTTTAGTGGGTGCAAACATGTAACCCATTGGTAGTTTCACCTCATTATCGGAAGAATTTGAAAAAGCCATTGTTTGATCTCAAAGATCGGAGAGACGAAGAGAGAGAATATTTCTCAATCTGCATGTGAATATATATAGACAATTCAATACGGTGGAAAGAAAATAAGGTAATTGTTTTCAAAATCTTCAAAACATATGAAGAGTTTCCTCATTTTTCGCATTTTCAAGATATTTTACCCCAACTCTTTGGAAACTGCTTAATTTTGGATCTAATTCAATGCATTATTTAGGTGGAATTTTCACACTTTACACCTTGAAAGATATTTAAATTTTTATTTTTCACCCTAAAATATTATTTTTTTTACTTTGTATTGTAAGCTGAATTTCATAAATTGATTCAAATGTAGCTCTCAGACTAACATTCGTTTTAGATTTTGTTAAAAATTGATGTACATGCTACCCAAGAATATGAATAGTAAATTTATATTTTTGTCTTTGAGTAATACACGTGAGTAGCATGTAAATCAAATTTTAACAAAATTTAAAACGAATGTTAGTTCGAGAGTTGCATTATAACTAATTTATGATACTGTAGGTGCAGTGTAATAAAATAATATTTTAGAGTATAAAATATAAATCCGATATATCTTTCAGGATACAAAAATATGAAAAATCTTAATTAGATTAACAAGAAGTTCGTCAAATATTATAATTCACAACTAATATAACGACAATATTGAATTAAGTATTTGGTTAAAATCTCTAAATTAAGATTTTTTTCTTAATCTGGGAGTTTCATTATGATATCGAATATTGTTTTTATGCGTACCCCATAATTTTTTGTGGTAATAGGAAAATAAGGTTCTCCATATAAATTTAAAAATATAAAATAACTTGTTAATATAAATAATAAACTAGGTTATATTAGTGTCAACTATGAATAATTTAATTCTTATACAACAAATTAGATCAAATTGAAAAAAAAAAGATATATATTTAGGTTGAGCATAAAAAAGACATACCTCTCGAAACGAAAAGCTATTGCTTGAGACTTGACGGGAAATGAAGAACAAACAAATCAATGAAAAGCCGGTGGGGGTAGCAATTAGAGGCACCTTTTGCTTTAGTATTTATATGAACAAATTGTTCCTATCCTTATTGGTATTATAAGAACAAAAGACCCCATACCATGCATAATTCACTCGGATTCGAATGCTACATTCTTTCATAGAGCTCAGATGAAACACTCGTGTTATTTGCAATTCGTATTGTTCGATTCATAGAGTTCGAATAAATTTTGACTTATTAACTCTTTTGACCTTTTTTTTTTTCTTCTTGTTAAACACCTATTACAAAAAGACTAAACTAACGAAATTTGAATCAATGACATTGAGGTCTAACAACAGAGTTTTAGAGTCAACTTGATTATTCACCTATTGATAATTATACAATTTAGAGAGACTCGTTGGTCCTATGTATGAATTTGTCTTTCCTCGTCATCACCTTATTTCAAATTTTTTTATCATATTACTAAAAAATTACCTGTGAATGAATTAAAATAATATTTGTTAAATGTAAAAAAGTATGAGTGTTCAAATTTTTGATATCCCGCAATTTTGATTCTATCTTTCTATAAAAAATATAAATTATATATGTAATTAAATTAAATAATAAATTTGATGTCGAATAATTAAATCGTATTTTAATTATTAGTTTATTATATAAATCTTTGAATTCTTTTTTTTTAGTACTTAATCTGCCATTTGTTTTAGGCTTTTGCAGATCTAATTACATTATAGAGAGTTCAAAATAATTTAAAAGTCTTTATCAAAAAAAGTAAAAAATAAATTAAAATTCAAATCTATATATATATCTATATCTATATCTATTCTATATATATATCTATATCTATATCTATTCTATATATATATACTACTTATAAATGTCAATATTTGTGAAAAAATTTTGATTTTCTATTTTACCCCTAATTATTATTCTAAAGTCAATTATATCCACCTATATACTTTTATCTAATTTTTATTTTTTTTATCCCTAATTATTATACTAAAGTCAATTATACCCACCTATATACTTTTATTTTATACTAAAATCAATTATACCCACCTATATACTTTCATCTAATTTTTATTTTTTTAATCCTATTTGACCTTTAACTTATTTTAGACTCTTTTATAAAGACTTCTAAATTCTTTTGAACTCATTTATTAGTAATACAGTTACATAAAAAATTTTATATGTATATAAAAAAGCAAAGTCTTATATATGTTAAATTATTATACACGTATAATTACCAATTTGAATTACACGATCAAATATATATTATATTTTATTTTTTAGTATAAAATAATATAATAATATTATAGGTGATCTAATTAATCTATTTAACAAAAGAAAACTTAATAATTTTATAATATAATTAAATAGACAAATGACAAAAGAGATTTGAGAGATACCTAAATAAATGATAGATTAGTTATTCAAAGACTTATAGAATAAATGAATAATTAAATTTAGTAATAATTAAAATACAAATTAATTATTAGGCACTTAATTTATTCTTTAATTTAATTACTCATATAATTCAAGTTTTTTATAAAAAATATTATTTAAATTTTTTTACGTGCGTCGTGCACTGCTAGAAAGAATAAAAAACAAAAATTATATGAAATTATATGGGTGGATATAATTGATTTTATTATAATAATTAGAGATAAAATATAAAATCAAAATTTTTTTATTATATGAAATTATATAGGTGGATATAATTGATTTTATTATAATAATTAGAGATAAAATTAAAAATCAAAATTTTTTTCGCTTACGCTGATACTAGCAATGCACGACTTGCATTTCATGTAAATAAATTTAAATAATATGAATTATATATGTAATTAAATTAAATAATAAATTAAAAGTCAAATAATTTTAATTGTTACTAAATTTATTCTATAAAAACTTTGAGTACATAATTTGCCATTTATTTAGATATCCCTCCAACCTTTTTAGGCATTTGGACATTAATTATATTATAGAATTATTAATTTTTATTTTTTTAAAATAGATTGATTAAATTGCTTATAATACTTTTATATTATTGTGTAGCAAAAAATAAAATATAATATATATTTGACCATAGAATTCAATCTGATAATTATATTTGTATAATAATTTAACATATATATACAATTTTAATTCTTCATATAAATATAAAAAATTATATATAATTGTACAACTAATAAATGAATTCAAAATAATTTGGAGGTCCTTATAAAAAAAATCCAAAATAAGTTGAACGTCAAATAGGAGTAAAAACCAAAGATTAGATGAAAGTATATATATTATTGGGTATAATTGACTTTATTAGAATAATTAGGATCAAAATAGAAAATTAAAAATTTTTCATTTACTTCTATACAGATATAGAAAATTATATATAACTATACTACTAATAAATAAATTCAAAAAAATTCAGAAGTTCTTATAAAAGAATTCAAAACAAATTAAAAGCTAAATGAGTACAAAACAAAAATTAGATGAAAGTATATATATTAGTGGGTATAATTGACTTTATTATAATAATTATGGATAAAATAAAAATTAAAAAAAATTTTGCAGATACCGACATTTATAAGTAGTATATAGATATACTAGCAACAGACTCATGTCTGGAGTCACTGTATAACACAAAATGTCCAAATTGAACCCAATCAAAAAAAGACATTAAAAGATAGGTATACAAAATCAAGTAGCCAAAAGCCGAGTTTTGAACTCAAACTTTAGCAGTACACAGAAAATTGAAAAACAATCACAATGAACAACGTAGATAGTCATCTAGGTTTTGTCCAATCTGATTGAAATTCCATGCCAATTATTCTACCCCAAGCGTAGTTCCTTTTGTTTGTGCTGCCCAAAGGGAGGCTTATATGTAATTTGAATAAAAGCCTCGTTCTCATAAAAAAGAATGTTACACTACACAATACCCCAATCCACTTGCCACTAAAAGTCCAAAAACATTTACTCATTAGCATCCCATGTCACACACATTCAATCATTATTGGCATAATCACCATACCAGTTTAAAAAAAGTTATGAAGTAAATTATTTCCAAACCATTATATTTAACATACAAACAGAATTATGCAGAGTCGTCAATCCATAAAAATTTCTAAATTTAAACCAAAGACCATCATATACTATTTTTCAAAACCACCACCAGCTAGCATCACCGAGTTTACAATTTACCAAACAACTTTTTCAACTCTACTCAAAATTCAAACATAAGCATGATCTATCTCACACAATTGAGCTAAACAAAGAATAAGATATAATCAAAGTGTAACAAATGCATGGGTAGGATAGAGAACATTCAAATGGATTTAAGCTCCACTTGAGCCAATAGTCTTTTTCATAAGCCAAACAATATCATTAAAAAATATTGTTTGATCATAAATAGCCACGACGCAGACTGAGAATCAACATTTAACGTATGAAAAGTACAGAAAAGAATGGAAAAAGGAAACAATTCATCATGAAAAATTTCAAGAACAAATCTATAGCCCGAATTCTAGTGTGCAATTTCTCATCTCCATCAGCAACGATTCAATCAAATTTAATTAGTTGTGTCGTCAACATTTCAATCAAATTCAAAAGAAATGTGTCTAATACTTTTTTCCACCAGATAAACTTGCAATCTATAGGAAATTTGCAAGCTGCATCAAGGTTTTATGAGCAAGCTGACAAAATTTGAATTTATGCCAACTAAAAGGAAAAATGCGAAAAAGTGATAGAATTTCTTTTAATGGTACTAAAAGTATGGGTAAATCTAAATTAACATTTAACGAAATAATAAGAAAAGATATAAAAATACTTAACTTAAATGAGAGTATAAGGCATGATCGAAATAAATGGCGAAAACGAACTCATGTGGCCCACCCCCAATGATGAGGACATAAGACTTGGTTTGACTTGATTTGGTTTGGTAAAAGGGAAAATGCGCGAGGGAGTAGATATGAGAGGGATAAGAACAGAGAATTTATAAAGAAAGTAAG